ATCTCTGTGTTTCTTGTGACAACAGAAAGATGTGGTCTTTGTCCTTAAAGTTTAACAGTAGTTTATTAATGCACAGTTTCATCTTTATCAATTATATGGGTTCTCCTCACTTGAAACTTTTTGTAATTTTATAGTTTGTCATTTAACTACTTAATTTTCAGTGTTACTTGGTGTCAGTTCTCTCTTTTAAAGAAAGAAACAGAAAATGTTTTAACATGGATGTCTAGCTCTGTAGAAAAGCTAATCTGAAACACAGGCATATTTTAAAGATCTGGAAAAGGATATTATTAATATTTCAAAAATTTATTATATGTAAAATCTGAACTTAAATTTTCATCTTCACTAATTATAAAGCTTAGTTAAGGATTTCTATTTTAAACACATAGAAAGACTAGATTATAGTCAGCATGTTTCATTTTCACTCTTTAACATTAAAGTAGCTGTAACATCTGTTCCAGGTGCGGAGTGTTAAGGGAAAGAAAATAGCAATTATTTTGTTTGGAAAAGAATAACATTCAGAATTTAGGGTGCTTTTGGATTTTGTAAAAATCCCTTTTAAAAAAATACAAACGTGTTTTAGGACGTGACACTGAGGTGCTGGAGTGTGCCCAAAGGGCAATGAAGCTGGTGAAGGGTCTAGAGCACAAGTCTTATGAGGAGTGGCTGAGGGAGCTGGGGTTGTTTAGCCTGGAGAAAAGGAGGCTGAGGTGAGACCTTATCGCTCTCTACAACTACCTGAAGGGGGGTTGTAGTGAGGTGGGTGTTAGTCTTTTCTCCCAGGTAAGAAACAATAGGGCAAGAGGAAATGGCCTCCAGTTGGGGCAGGGGAGGTTTAGATTGGATATTAGGAAAAATTTTGTCACCGAAAGGGTTGTCAAGCACGGGAACAGGCTGCCCAGGGAAGTGGTGGAGTCAGCATCCCTGGAAGTATTTAAAAGATGTGTAGATGTGGTGCTTAGGGACATAGCTTAGTGGTGGACTTGGCAGTGCTAGGTTAATGGTTGGACTTGATGATCTTAAAGGTCTTTTCCAACCTAATTGATTCTATGACTGAACATTTCTGGATACAAGGAACAGGTTATTTATTGAAGTCCTTAATAATCAGGGAAGGCTATTGGTGTGATCTGTACAGGGAAGATGCATCTCAGAGCAGGTTTTCAGGACTTCATACTGAAAATGGAAGGAAATACTCTTGCATGTCTAAATTGAAATCTAGGTTATTGAAAGCTATTTAAAAAAAAAAAGTGACTGTTACTGGCATTTTTTAATTAGTAATTAGATCCAACAATTACATCAGAGTTGTCTCCTAGTATTCCCCAGACAACCCTGTGTCTGAAAGGCTTGTTGAATGGCTTGCTAAGTTTCTCAAAAAACAACCAGTGAAAGGATTGGTTTAGTCTTGATTCTTGTTCTGAGGGGATTTCTTGGTTGGGGGGCGGGGGGGGTTCTTGGGGATCTTTACCTATTGTTGGATTAGATAATCTTTTTTCTGTAACGGTACTCCTTCAGATAATTCTGAAATGAAGCTTAGCATATCTCCAAGTTAGTAGTGATCAGTAATAGTGTGTAAGTGAGACCTTTCTCACAGGAAGGGGACAGATGCTAATGGCCAGTTGTCTTTGCCCCAGCACTCTGGAACGTATTTCCCAGCTCTGTCCATAAAAACCAACCAAACTTAAAGCATGCTGCCAAAACACTTATCTTGGGGTATGGTTGAGGATTTAGGGAAAATGGAGCCTTTTATTACCACTTTGGAAGTTGTTTTATGTTGCTTGATGGCATGTTTGTTCTGTACATGCTAAATTAAACTACATGAGTCAGTTTCATGTTCCTGCATCATAAATAGATCTGCTTACTGCAGTGTAGGTATGGGTGCAGCGTTCTAACACTTGCACATTAGAAGGAGCAGACTGAGAAAGCATAGTGAAAACAGTAGGAATCAAGTGCCTTAAGTCTTTCTAAAATTACTATATCATATACTGTATCATTTAAAATAATTGTAAAAAGTAACTTTTAATAAACTATTTATACCCGAAGCTAAATCGTTTTGGTAACAGACTTAAAACTTTTTATTCTTTACTCCTTGTGCAGAGATGAAAGATTGTATGTATGTCATTGCTGATTTATGTTCTTGACTGGTCTGGGTGGTTGTCAGCATGTTTTCTAAATTGCCAACTCTTTAAAGTCAAATCTTTCAGCTTTCTTTTTTAAATACCAGGGGGGAAAAAAGTTGAAATTTTGCTGTAAAATAGTGATACTGATTATAGAAGATACATAACTCCTTCTAGCAGTGGAGTTACAAATAGAACATATTGAAAACTGTGGTGCAGCATTAGCTTACGAAATGTATGTGTGTAAGTTAGAAGAGTCGAGAAAAGTCAAGTCTTTGGTGTTAAAATAAAACAGCTGTACAGGGTACTGCAATAATTGATTCATCTTCTGATCTGCTTATAGTAATTCCTGTCAAATTATTTTCTTCAGTAAGGGATTTTTCTTGGCAGTTAGCAAATGTCAATCAAAGTTAGAACAGTAGATGAGATTGCACTTTCCACATAGTAGCTCAGTGTGCAGAAAAAACATCTTTTCAAGGCTGAATTTTAGCCAGGATCACTCAGTGTGTTTGTACATTACCAAAGAAGCTTCTGCTTCCTGTCTATCCTTATGTGATCTAGAAGGCAGAGAACAAAAAGCAGCTGTCTATAAAGAAGTAATAGTAATGCAAGGTTATTCTGTCCCATTCGCACTGGAAGTGGAATGCTTTTTTTCCTTTGTGATGATTTTACATAACACTGATTATGTATTTTGCTGCTTTTGTAGTCTTTCAGAAACAGCACTAATCTTTACCTTGGACATAGTGCAGCTGATACTTCAAGGAATACAGTACCAGAATTTGTAGCTTTAGAAACATGTAATTTAATTGCCTTAAGTATAATTTTTGTTCCTTTTCCAGGAGCCAATAATATAGGTATGGTTAATTTTGAGTTTGCACAGATGATGTGTGAGATATGCTTTTGTGGAACAACTGATAATCTGAGCCTATTTTGCATACCTTGCTCTATGAATATTAAAGGACCCTACAGTAAAATGTAGAACAAAGAGCAGATCAGCTCTGCTGAGCCATGTGGGCAGTCTGGGCCAAAGTGCCTCAGGACCGTTAGCTGGTCACTGTAAGAAATGAGAAGAATTATATAAATTAAAGGGTAATATATATGCAGTACCAAATTGATGTAAATTAGTCAGGAATAGATTTAGACAAGAAATTAGAGGAGGTTTCTGAACATCAGGAATAAATGGCCTTTCAGATAAAACAGATAAGCAGGGACAAAGAACCTGGATGCCTTTGTCTGATAAGTTTGTGAATGGAGTGGATTAAAGAAAATGGCAATGATTCTGGAGGTCTATGCCATTCTGAATTTATGCCAGTCTGATCCTTTGAATCAGCAGGAAGTTGAAAGGAGAAAAGATATCTGTGCTTTTGGGGTTGCTTGCATCTCACATGTTAATTCTGTGCCACATTTCAACTGTTTTCTTTGTGTTCAGGAAGAAGAGACCTTTGATCTCATAGCTTTCTTCCAGTGACATGCTGTAGTTACATCTGTTGGCCTTTTACTTTACGTTTCAAATGTAGGGGATTCTAAGAAGCAATTTCTGCCTTATGTAAGTGGGAAACATTTAGAGTGTGTGTTAAAGGTACTCTTCTGTGTTACTGTTGTTGTGGGGCTGCTTGCACTTCCCTTGGTGGCCTTTTCCAGTCCCATGTACCTAAATTGCGTTTAGTTACTGTGTTTCTGGTTATTTTTCCCTTTGCCTTTGATTTAACAAGTCAGGTTTTGGGGCATTTTGTTCAGGGGTCTGTTTAGCTGAGTAACTACTTCTGTCCCCTTCTGCAGTGGGGTGGATGCTGGCTTTTGGCTCCTTTTTGCTCCTAGAGAAGGCTTCAGTATATTGCTTGGCCTTAGGAGAGACCTTTTCAAACTAGACAGAGTAATGTGTTACTAAATTGAGAATATTTCTATCTTCGTGAATCTAGAAAAGTGACTGTGTATGTTGCATGTACAGAGGGAATTGTATCTCAGTGTCCAAGTCATCCTACCTGTTACAGTTTTGCTCAGACTTGTATGTAATGTGGGAGCCCTTAGCTAAGCGGTTTTCATCTTAAGCTTACACACCACATGAATCTTAAAGTGATTATCTTCTGTGCTGATGCGAGGTAGGAATCTGGTTGCTATCTGGGCTCTTTGTATGACTCAAATGTAGACTGAAAGTGTTCGGTGACCTCTGCTATGATTCAAGTGCTACTGACATAATCTAAAATATGTTCAAAGGGGCTCCTAGGTATCTTGATACTGTATAAAGAATCCAAATTGATAGAGGTCCAAGGTATGTCTTTGGCAAGATGTGTTTTAGGCTTGAAGTGATCCTGTTTAGCTACAATTCAGCTGCCTTTGTGCACATAAAACTTTTCTGGACTTCTTTATGTTCATAAATGATCATTTCTCAGTGTTCAAAACTCAGATTACTCTCAGCCCCCATGGTTGTGCTCGATGATGGAGTTATTTTGCAACGGTGACCCAGAAGAAATCACTGCCAAAGATAACAACCATCATGGTAGTGGTAACCATGTCCCTAGGTGTTAGGGGAGATCCGTGAGGTTCTCTTTCCCATTAATGTCAAACTACAGACTCGTTTCCTTTAATTGAAATTTGGGATCTTCCTGGTATCCTGAAAGACCTTATCCCGGATATCAGTACTGTGACACTACATTTTTAGAAAATACAGTGTGGTATCTTTCTACCATAACAGCAAGTAAAACCTATGTAGGAACACACAGTGTATAAAGGTTCTTATGAATAAAGTGTTCATCTTACTCTTTTGTTCATTCTTCATCTTTCTATTAAGGACTTCATCTTCTTTACATAGCAGGATTCAGATGGGGTTTTTACTATGCTTAGAAGTTCTCTTCTGTCTGAATTTTCCTCTAAAAATAATTCTATTTCCAGGTTGCTGTATTTACTTCAGCAAGAAACCTCCAGCGCAGAACTGAGAACAGAATGCGCAGTGGTCCTCGGAAGCCTTGCAATGGGTACAGAGAATAATGTCAAATCCCTACTAGACTGCCATATTATCCCAGCCTTATTGCAAGGTACTTTTCCCTTAATGGATCTATGTTAGTAAATGTTCCTAAAGTACTCAAATAAGCAAAGATAATGAAACTGAATAGTAGGTTTTGTCTATATTTATAGGATTACTGTCGCCAGATTTGAAGTTTATTGAAGCTTGCCTGCGGTGTCTCCGTACCATTTTCATCAGTCCTGTAACTCCAGAGGATCTACTATATACAGTAAGTTGTAAGCAAATTATTATGTCCTTTTAAAACCTATAGAGTTGGTGGGAGTGAAAGGTCTCATTGTCTGCAGTAGTAATGAAGACTTGTTTGACCAATAATGTTAGCATTTCTCACCTACGTCTAAGGCATCTGGCTCACCTAACATTTATAGCAATATTTGATATGAAATGGTCAACAAGATAGCACACTGATAAAGAAAAAACCGAAAATTTTCAGGCTTGTGTGCAATCTTAAGGAGTAAAAACTGTCTCTAAATGGTGTTTACAGATACCATTATCACCACTATATGGGAAAAGTTAGTTTCTGAAACTTAAAGTATTATCCAATGCTGTCCTCCCACTCCAGATGTGAGGGTGTTTGCTTAGTTTTAGCACTTCATGTGGAAGAGATTCACCTCCAGAACTTCTCTGCTTTTAGTTAATATACATGTGATTTACATTTAACTGATAGGAGGATAGAAAATGTCCTCCACCATTGCTATAATCTTGAGTTCCGCTTGGAGCATGCGAGCAGTAAGGCTATCAGTGCTGACCTTGTTAAGGTGACTGGGCAAAGCAATTGATGTGGAGCCCTGTCTGAAGGTAGTGCTGTCTCTTGGCAGTTTAGACACAAAAGGCCTTGCCCAAACTCAGTCACTGTCTCTTACGTGGAAAGAGGGGACAGAAGGGTTTGCACTCTTCCCTGCTCCTTTGTCCCAGTGTAAGGGATGAGGCAAGCTGTGGCATGAAGACTACTGTACCAGCAATCTCTTTCTGCTAGGAGAAGGGTAATATTGCACCAGACTGCTGTCTGGAGGTCACCAAGCATGTCCAAATTCTGAGGGTAGTTGGGAACCCACAGTACTAACCGCTCTGGTCCCACCAATCAAAGGGATGACTGTCGCTTGCTGAGGAAGACTTGATGCTTATAGAGAAGGGCACAGCTGGCCTCTGATGTCATACTTTCTCTACAGTTTGGGTGTCTATGTCATTATTAGAGACAATTTCTGTGTTAATAGTCCTCAACAGATTTTCTTGGTGATTTTTGTCTAGTTGTTATGCAGTGCTGTAATGATGTCTGTTTTGTTCTCTATTCCTTTTCTGATGATTTCTTACATTTTCATGCCAGAAATAGGTATGTAAACTTGTTTTCCATGGTCTCAATTCTACCATACACCTATTCTGAATTTCATCTGCTAGTTAGTCCATGTCATGAAGTCTTCCTGCAGCTCTTCACAGCTTACCCTTGTATTTAGTACGTGTAGATAATCAGCCAGCTTTGTCCTCCACTGTTCACTGCCTTTTTTCCAGTTGTTTTTTGATTGTTCAGCAAGGAAACAATGCAGATTGTATGTGTGACCACTGAAGGCACCTCTCCTGAGTGATCTGAGAGTTTCCTCTTTGTGTCTGTTACTTCCTTTGACTTCACTTCATGCTCCCAGATTCCCCCAAGTCAGCCTGTAAGAGTTCATAATTGCAGGGGCATCTGCTCCCTGCTCTCAGCATCCAAAGTCAGGGCTTAAGATGATTGTCTCCATTAACAATCCATACCTATTCCTGGGGATCAGTGCTTAATGGAGACTATTAGTTGCTCCCTGTTTGGAGGAGAGATTTGATATTTTGAAGGGAGAGGAAGTGGAAGAGTATGTACAGAAATGTGAAAGAACCAGTATCAGCATATAAATTACCACTAACCTTGTGGGAACAATATGCCTAAGATACTGGATTTTCTGTTTCATCCTTTGTTTTGTCTGCTGCACAACAGTGACATCAGAACTTTGCTACACGGTTCCTTACTCAGGTAAATGTGATGTCCCTTAATTAACCATAGCTACAGGAAATGATCATCTGGTGAGGCTGCCCTTGTACCCATTTTCCAATCTCCCATTCCAGTTGGACACTTGAAAGTTAAGTATTTTATGATTGTGCTTAAGGTCCTATTTCTGCAAATCAGCTTCTTTTTTGCTTCTCTTGTGGGAATACGCAAACCCATACATTGAAAAGTAACGAATGCAGGTCCTTTGAAAAGGAGACATTTTTCCTACCTCTTGGAAGGTATAGCCACAACCCCCACTGCTGCAAGCTGTGTTTCACAAGGCAGCAATTGAGAAGTTGTCTTTGATTAAAGAAGTAATTATGGGCCTTATCAACACTTTATGGCAGACACTCCACATAACAGGAAGAACTTAAAGTTCTCGTTTAGCCACCCAGCTCCCTCTTTCTTTCTGATCGCAACAGCTCCGGGGAGACTGTCACCATTTCCAGATAGCTTCAGATCTTGAATGAATGAAAGGGCTTATTCAGTAGCCTCCTGAGTTCTGCCTCTATCGGGTCCTATTTTGAAAGGTAAGAGAATGAGTTTGTCAATGGCTTTTCATTCTTGTCCAGCCGTTCTGGAGAGGCTTCTGAAGAATTGGTTTCTGAGTTGTATCTAAGATAGCAACTTTTCCCAGAATTTCTTTGTGGCTTGACTGCATGGAGGATGCTGTCTCTCAAAACTTGGCCAGGACTATTTCCAATACAAGATATTAGGACTTAGCTCAATGTCTCCAAGGTCATTACAGTCATTCTAGAGGTTTCAGAGGACCTCTCAGTTACGATCCAGGATACACAAGTGCTTTAAAGAGAGCTGCTTAAAATACTTCTTTCTATTTCTAATGGGTTTGAGAGAGAATAAACATAAAATCTCATTTAAAAAAACAAAACCACATCATCCCCAGTAACCTGAATGTTTCTCCCAGCAGAAATGCTAGGCGTCAGAAACTACATCTTTCCTCTTGAACTTTTCCTTATAGACAGGAACTTGAAGGATAAACTGCTGGCAGTTTTGACCAATTAGGTTCAGTTCCAAAGACAAATAGTTCTTCAGAGGTGGAAACATTTGGGCTTTTTCCTGTAGGAACGTAGAACCTGTACTGAGAAAATGTGAAGACCCATCCATATGTGGGTTGAGCTGAATGAACACTGAGCTTTCAAAAAGGCTGGACTTTTATTGTCTGATACTGAGATCTTACAGAACTGCAGAACAGTAAGCTGTATCCAGACCTGCAAGGGTGCAGGCTTTGGTGCTGAGACTGATTTAGTGACCATCCTGCAAATGAAAATGAGGAACGACATGGAGTCCCAGGGTGAGAGATCTGTTGAGATGCAGATATATGTCCAGACTTTTTTTTTTTTTGTAAATTCTAAGATTCTGTGTGGAGGTGTTTTATACATCTGAACTAGCCAGCTCTATGTAGCTAGGTGTGTTTTGGTTTGCTGAGTAGATTCAAGCACTAAGTCAAACCCAGTTTGACTGATAGCCTGTCGCTTCAGCTCTTGCTGATCTATCTAAAACAAGAATAATTGATTCAGTGGCAGAAAACCTTTCCAGCCCATGAAGGCATTCTGCATGTTTCTTTACAGATGTTCTCAGTTGTGATCCCATTTTCCTTCCTCAGTGGGACCCAGACAAAATTTTAGTGAGAGATTTCGATCTGTGGCAACTATGCTGGCCTTGAAGGAAGAGGCAGGTAGCAGGTATGTTCTCTGCTTTGAATGAGTCTGTCCTTACAGGAAGCTTAGAGAATGAAGGCACTGCAGCAGGATGAGTTTCTTTCTCCCTGCTGTTGAGACAATGAGGAATGAAGTTTCAGAAATCTTTGCTTTTTTCCAACTTAGATGAGCTAGTAATTTTAAGTAAAAGGCATTCCTCCTTACTGTTCAGGTTCGCGATGGAAAACTTAATGTCATCTGGTGATTGACCAGGCTTGATGAAGGGGAGGAGGAATAATTCAGAGGACAAGGCTAGCAGGACAGAGCAGGATATTAACTCTGATTAACAAGGTATTCAATGAGCAATGAAACCACACTGCATAGTGTACGCATCTTCTACCATGGCTCAGTGATACGCAGCTACTAGAGGAAGAATCTAGGTAATCTTCTAATGGCTTACACCTTTCATTCCTCCTGTTTGTGATGGCTGAGCCCATGCAGTAAGGCTAAATGTTCTCTAATCTGGCCTGTTTCCTAAAAATGAAAATGGTAAAATTATGAATTCTAGCTTAGAGAGCTTGAATTTAAGTTATTTGGATGCATATAAGAATTTCAGTTCTCTGACTTGGTAAAAAGAATAATAATCCTCTGTTACAAAGAAATGCTTTAAGAATAGATCTTTCAAATTTTGTTTTAATGTTAAAAAGGAATATGAAGAAAGTTGGTAGATATTAGGATCCAAGCAGGTAAATGCAACTCTCTTAATTCTCTCTTTCTGAATTCTGTAACTCTGTTTGGATGGGCAGTAGTTTTGTTATAGTACATGTGACGTATAGATATTTGTCATAAGTTGCCTGGAACTAGTCTTTGTTAACAGACAACATTTTAACGGATTTGTGAATCTCATTGTTTTAACTGCAAATTATCAATGTAGACTCAGTGTTGCTTACTAGGTTTGCTAGAAAGATCCTTTGTTAATTGCATATTAATATGAAAAAAAATGGAATTATGTAGCCTCATATTGACACATAATTATTATTTGCATTTAGTTGGAAGTCAGTAATGTCCACACATCTTTTTACTCTTTCTAGATTCTTTTTCTGATAAACATGCCAAAATTATTATAGAATTTGGATATATTTTAGCAGAATCAAGGGGCAAAATTAACATAATTTTCTCATAAGCATTAAGGAAGCACTCCTGCAACTTTCCAAGAGTTTTAACCTTTTCATACCCACAACATTTCTGATTTGATGGAACAAAATGAGAAAGTATATAAAAGATATCTCCAAAGAATTGCTTCTCAAATGTATCCTTTTCTAATCCAGAATATCTAATAATACAGTTCTTTATGTATTGGTAGAATTTCAGGGAACCCTTACTCTGTTGATTGCAAGGATTCATTAACCCTTATATCATCTATACAGCATCATCACTGGGGTCATGGTGACACCAGAAATGCCCTGTCAGAATGTTTGGTATCAGAACAGCCCAGACTTATAAATGCTAAATTAAATTGCTTTTGATCATCCAATGTGAACACCTTCCTACTCAGGAATTTACCATTGGGCTATGATGCCACACTGGTCAGTAAAATGTTATCTTATGCAAATCACTGTGTGCCATTCTATTTCCATTTCTATAACTCTAGAGCAGAGCTTCTAAACAGTTAGAGGCTTGATTTCTGTCCACTTACATCTTTACCAAAGCTCTCTAATCTATCAAACTGCAGCCAAAAATACTCATGTGAGCAACATGGTTGAAGTTCTAGGTGAAACTGAATCATTGCATGGCAATGTCACTGGCCAGGATGTGAAATAAAAGGTTGTCAGTTCCTTCCCTGGTGTCAGATACAGGTAGAGAGATGTTATGCATTCATCTGTGTTGAATAAAAGAGTTTAACTGAGAAATTATTTTATTCAAAGATGAAAGCAATATATTTTTATTAATAGTTTGGGAGATAACTACAGGGACATGGGAAGATATGTTTTTGTAAAATCTGTGAAAGATAGCATCAAAAATTGTCACTTCTCTAGCTTCAGGTTGATTTCCAGTAGCTCCTGATACAAAGCTTGCCTTATGGCACTTTTTGTAGATTTCAAGTGCTTTCTTAGTTAATGAAGAATAATCTAAATGTTATTATTGTGTATTTTTCACTGAAATCTGGTTTTCATAAGCAATTCCACCAGTTCAAGTTTAAAAATAAAACAAAACCTTTCCACCAGCTTGAGGGAAGGAGTGCAAGTCCTATAGCCTTTTATTGGACCACTTCAGAGTTGGCAGCATTATTCAGTATCCAGACATGCATTGGTCATGTGATAAAGGTGACAGATCATGTGAGTGAATTGTATTCATTGCCTGACAAAAATGCAGATCTGTACCTGCCAATATGTCTCTGTAGACAAGACAGCTGCACAGAGCAGTCCATAAGAATTACACCATTGATGCAAGGGTCAAATCTGGTTGCAAGCTAGTAACCTATGATTTAGCAGATAAATTAGTTGCTACTGTTATGGCTTTCTTTTTTTCCCTAAGAACCTGAATGTATACTGACATCTATAAATTCTTGTCGGGAAGAACGGCCATAGTCAAGAATCACACTCAATATGAGTTAACATCTTGCTCGTTTACTGTTCAGACGTCTTGACATTTATACAAGACTGACTTGTCCACGCGCCTTATACAATGCTCTAATTGGTACAATACCCCGTTTCACGCGACACTATCTTATTCTCTATTGGCTGTGCAAGCTTCTTCACGAGGCGTCCAGCAGTTACTTATCTCATTCTTCGGCATCCAGGAGTTGTTTGTCAGGCTCTTCTTATCTTCCTTTTTCCCAGCGTACAAGGACACAGCGTCCTTGTCCGCTTCAGCACTTTGTAAACTTATGCTTCGTTCCCACCTAACGGCTGGATTGCTCACATGCCTTTGCCCAGCCAAGAAATCCTCAACAAATTCTTACCTAGAATTTCCTGGTTAGCTGAGAGAAAACCAAATTTAAGGTAAGGACAAAATATAGTTATAAAGCAATATATAATAGCAGATGCTTATAAATTAGAACCCCACTTATTTGGAGGAAGAGACCAAAACAGGACAAATGTGGGTTTTTTTTCCCTCCGCTCCCGCAGCCTAGGTTTTCTACTTGTTGACATCCCCAAAGTTTGCAATGTTCTGTGGTTTCCTAGATCATGTAGACAGAAGAACATATGTTAGCAACATAGGGAACATTGTGTCTATGCTGCTTTAATAGTGGCAGTTCAAATCCTTTTTAGCTTATGGGGCTCTCCTCTGGCTAAGGATTACTGAGCTGATGTAGATTTTTCACTCAGCTCACTCTGCATATATTTCTCTAGTTGTGAATTCTTGGACGTCTTATCTTTGGCAAGAGCCATATCTCTGTCAATTTCATTAGACTTTAACTTTTAGACCAACGTTTACATCCTTCTAGTTGCAAGTTTTGAAATAAGCCAGATTACATAGTTAATGGTGATTTCCCTGCAGGAGATTTCAGGTCTTGCATCTTACATTTTGAAGCTCCTTTTTTGAAGCTTTACTGCCTCTGAATCCTGAGGTGTCTCTTTTCTCATCCCCCTACCCTCCTGACATCTTGATTGTTTTGTCTTAGGTGTACTTTATCACTGATAAGCCTCTTAGCACGTATATATGTGTGTTGTGTTGAACACTAATGTGGCTGGATACCTTCAGCTGCCTAAGATTTACAGAAAATGACAAGAATCTGTTTTAATGGGTCAAATGTGTTAAACCACAGAGGAACCCTGGGTATATTGTCACTTTGTTTTCCTTTAACTTAAAGGAGGAGACGCTTCAAAGTTTGGGGACCTGCTATGACTTTGTAAGATTGTAACATGTTTTTCTTGAGAACAAGGTGGCCTGTTAGCTCCTTCTGTTTGGTTTCTCATGGATATTTGCTATTCTGCTTGGCATATGCTGAAAACCCAGTATCCACTTAGTTTATATACCACTGCAGGTTTACCTGTGTCAGAGAGAGTCAAGAGACACTTCATTATGGTTATGACCATCAGGACTATTACAACATACTTGCAGATTTAATGTCCACTATTGCCCTGCAACCAAACCAGTTCCTTGCAGGTCTTTGGATTCTGAAGTTGCAAAGAAATAGATGTGTTTATATGTATGGCATGTGTAACAGCAGAAGGTCAGATGGTGCTACTGTTGACCAGACCCTAAAAATACTGCTTAGAATAGTTTTGTCCCTTGCTTTTCCTATGCACATAAGCATGCAATGAGCATGGATATATAGCTGGTGTACCCGGAAGAACTCCAGTTTCTAGTAAGTAACTTTCTCTCTATAGGATGCTGAAATGGCAAATGGTGCTGTTGCACATTGATCCTTTCCAGTTACGGAGAAACAAGCAGTAGGAACAAGTTGTTTTTATCTTGGCTCTGTTGTCCTGTTGTTTTCTGTTGAGAATAAGAAGGCTGGGTTGTTGGCAGCAAAGCTTTCTGAAAGAAGTCTGCTAAATTTATTTTTTTATATATAAATATTAAAAAGAGAATACAAATATTGCAAAGCTTTGCCTAATCAAATATGCATGCAAATAAGAGAGACATATACATGTTTATTTTGTTAATATAAAAAAGTGTGATTGGAAATTTCCCAAGTAATTGGGAAATAAAACTTTTCATAAACCCCTGTGTATCTCTGAAGCTATAGTCATTAAAACAATTAGGCTAGTGCTACTTTCATTACTATAAAAGTAGCTGAGAAGCATGAAGATTTTGCTCTAATTTTAGTCCACCTCTCCCTAGTCAGAGGCTTGCAATTCATCATCCTCCTGCAGGTAAAACAAAGAGTCTGACTTACTTGTATAGAGTCAATATATTTTAAGTTCTTTGAAAAGGAAGACTCATTCAGTCTTTAATCTCTGTTCAGCACTCTTTATCTTATGGAAGTACTTTAGTTTACCACCTTTCCAAACTAAAATGACCAGTGTTTCTTTTAGTATCACTGCAGTTACTGCCACTAAAATGTACTGGTAAAAGTAACTGAAAGCTTTAAAATGTTGTGATTTTGTAACTTGCCACAGAGCTTAAGTAACTGTATGTGTTTTCAGAAGGGAATTTCAGTATAATGATTTTCTTCTGCTGATTTATTTGGAATTTTCTGTCATTAGCGTCACACATACTAATAGCATCTATAGTGTGTGTTTGACTTAAAGGAAATTACTACCCCACATTAATCGGTTAGAAAGTGAGTGCCAAAGAATTCAAGGTGGATTGTATATTGTTCAGTCTGGCACCTTGTTCCCCTCCCTGATCTTTTCTACTAAGAGCTGAAATGAAGAGGTAAGTAAATCACACTTGTAGTAAGAAAATATTAAGACAAATCCTGGAGTAATTGCTTTCAGTGACCATGTTTGCAGCTGTTATGTTTGTTTTTTCACATTCTTTTATTGTTTTCTCATGAAGCAAAGATTCTGAAGACAAATTCCAGAAGTTTTATACCTCACTTGCACTGATCTTTTATTTTTTCCATGAGGATTTGACTCAGAACTGTCACTTGTGCCTTGGAGTCTCTCTTCTGCTACTTTGATGGTCTTGTTCTGTGTCTACACAAGTTTCAGTGGAAGGCAGAACACTGAATGCAGAATCAGGAGTACTCTTAAGTAACAAACTGTGAAGAAACTATGCTGAAATACAGTGTTAATACTTTTTTCTTTTCTGACTTGTTTCCAGGATGCTACAGTTATCTCCCACCTCATGGCACTGCTCAGTAGGTCTCGATATACACAAGAATACATATGTCAGATCTTCTCACATTGCTGCAAAGTAAGAAAGAGAATACATGTTCTTTATGCAACTTGTTGTGTTTCTGGCATATAAGAAACTATGTAAGATGATACTGCCTTTTGTGGCAGGAACATTAGGACAGTAATGACTGAACTGTTATTGCTCTGGATTTGCTGACAGATTTATTGGGGTTGATACATGTTTCTCTACGGTAGAACAAAATAGGCAAATAAGTGCTTTTCTTACACAGTGTGTATATATGTTCTTATACATATATTTATACCTTTGGCTACTAAACAAAGTCAACAGTCTAGGCAAATAGCAATCCTCGCTATTATCAGTATAAATTTTGGAAAGCTTATTTTTTTTTATCTGGAAGTCTCAAGACAGTGCGAACATTTCTTTGCAGAGGTCTTGCATCTGCTTTCAAGACAGCTGTTTTAAACCCAGAGAATGTCCTTTTCAGTTGAGTTCTACCAGTTACAGGTTTATCCAGATACATGTTCATTCCTGCTGTGTAACGCAATTCTCTTGATTTGGGAAGACTAGTTTAAAAACAGTGGCAACCCCACCTGAAACACAGAAGTTTTTTCCTTCTCTCCCCCTGCCTCCGAGTTTCTGCACACCACTGTTTTTTGTATTATTGTTGTGGTTTTTTGGTAGTTACTGTACCCATGGCTTATACAGTAACTGTATCAAAATAATTCAGTGTAGGAAATCAGATTTGTACAGCATCTTTCCCTTTTTGGAAAGTTTAAAACTAAAAGATCATAGATCATAGTTATCTCCCAGATGAACAAGTGAAAAAGTTCCAAAATTTATGAACTTGTAAGTATTTACTTTGAAAAATATCTTTCCACCTTATCACTTACAATGAGTCTTCTGGAACTCTGAATTACTCATTTGTTAAAAAAGTATTTTTCTCTACTTTGACAGCTATTTATGTACCTTCATCCAGTTGCATTTCTTCTGTTAAGTGAAACTGAGGGCTGAAAACTGTAGACTTAGTGTAAGATAAAAATATAGCTCAGCTGCTAATATTTATAGAATTGTTTAAAGAAAACATTAAGACAAAATCCTACACTGGACTGTGGAAGTTCAGAGCTATAGCTAATACTGGAAAAAGAATTTGGTATTCTAAGAAGAAAAATGGACCAGTGAGGCATCTCATGTTTATGTGGCCCTTGGAAAGGCTCCTTAATAGGCTCAGTAGCTTGAACAGGTGTAAAATCAGCCCATGTTGACTTACAAGAAAAATAACACAGGGCTGATTACAGAGTAGTGTAGAAGTCAGTTTGTATAATCAGGGGTTAGCTCTGTAGTAATATAAACCCTATTGGCTGTGTGAGAACAGCAGAGTAACTTCAGGTAATTAATCCAACATGAAAACAGTTATTGCCATCGTTTTCCAAATGAGTTACTTATAGCTCCACTAACTTCTGGTGACTTGCATATCAAATATATTGTTAACAAAGCAAATGTCTAGTCACTTAAGAATAGAGGAAGTAAGGTCTTATGAACTCAGTATACTGTTTTGAATGCCTCCTCCACCCCCCAAATCACTCTTGGAACAAATTTTACAGTGAATGTTTTGAAAAAATCCAACTTTTTGGAAAGAAAAAGTTGGTTGTGTGAACTGATAAAAACATGAATGCACAAGAAAAGCTAAGTGATAGGTATGAGTATTAGGAAATGGTTGCATTTATGGAATAAACATTAGCTGCATAACAAAGAAAAATATTTGAGGTTGAGTAAACAGATCATCACAAATGTTAAATTGATCAGGAACACATTTCTCTCTTGCCAAGGCAAATGCAGCTGTTTGACAAAAATCTAAAATGCCCCCTTTCTTTTTTGTTCAGTTCTTGGGTTTCAGGTCTGATTATCAAGGTCAATTACTGTATTTTCAGATGTAATAAAATACATCCAATACAGTGAAACAGAATTAGCAGGGGTTTTTCTGAGTTATATGGATAGGCAAAGTATGTTCTTACAATTTAAAAAAAATAGAAAATTAAATACTGAAAGTTTCAGTATTCACTACATTTTAAATGAAGACTCCATATTCCCCGCTGAGTAAGAGAACCTTTCTAATTTTCTCCTGAAGAAATGTTGTTATAGCTTTCATGTTTACGTAAGGCTTAGCATATAAAGAGGTATTGATGCTTTTATTTCTCTTTTTCCTCATCTTAGTAGATTTATTCATTAAACTAATAGTGACATATTACAGTTCCTACCCTCCTTGTTCCTGCATACTGTTCTCTGCTTAGATCTTGTGCATCCATTTTTTTTTCTTTCTTGCCAGAATCTTGTTTGGTTGGGCTTCTCAGGTTTCTTTCTTTCTCACCTGCTCAGATTTCCCTGGAAAAACTCAGACCTGTTCTCTTGAGCTAGGAAATCCTTACTTCAAGTTCCTAGCATATTTCTGCTGTTTTCTGCTTTACTGCTTCTCACTGCATTTTTAGGGTTAAAATTAACTGATAGAAAATGTAGACCCTGAAGAAGAGCCATCCTAAGCAAGGGGAAGTGTTGATTTACAGGGGGAGCAGATGCAGTTCTTAACATACGGAGCCAGGATTCTATCAACATATAAGCAAATAAGTAAACTGAAATCAGGTTGATGTACATGGTACGCTAAAATGCAAGTCAAAATTTACTTTTTAAGATTCTCTCTATCGCAGTTGACTTGTTCCAGAGAAAGTGATTTGAGTAGGTAAGCTTTACTATTTTAATAGTCAAATTAAAAAGATAAGGTATGCATTTGGAAACACATGGTTGTATGAATAATTTGAAAAGATAGTTCTGGAACTTATACTTGAATGCTGTGACATCTCTGCATAAGTAGTAATTTCACCACCAGTTGAAAATTAAAATCTTGTGTCTGGGAAAGATCCAGGATAAAGCCTGTAATCAAGGCAGCTTCCTCCCAAGCCCATTTTGAGAATGTTTTCTTATGTGATCTTAGGCCTGGTGCTGGATCACTGAACCAAGGTACATTTGCATTTAGATATCTGCTTTTAAAATTTCATTATGGAATGAATTGTTACATTGTTCTATCCTACTGCGTTCTTGAAAATTGACGTTTTATGGTGGAAAATCGTGCAAGAGGTGTGATTTCTATTCCTGAAATATTGTGTTGTTCAATCATATTTGGATAAAAAGATCACTGGATCCTGGAACTCTGTCAGTATACCCAAAGAGAAATAAGCAGAAGGCCTTGCTATTAAAGTGGTGCCTGAGCTGCTTGGAAATGATACATTAGATTCTCAAGTTTTCACATTTATATTTGAAGCTGTCCCTATGTATGGGTTAACCTGATTGTGCATTAAACAAGATGGATTGGTGTCTGCAAACACAACATGTACAGATTAGATATTTTCATGTACGTCTGGTTATGCAAATAAGAATACACCCAAGCGTCACCTCTGTACGTGCATTTGTCCTGTTTGCACAGAATTTACCGTCTGCATCTCATTGAAAAATCACTAATACTTGTGAATTACTAGAACTATCTAGGTCAATATGATTTCTTTTACTTTAATTTCATTCTTTTTTTTTTCACATATTTTAATATCTGTTCTTCAGCTTCAACACTGGCATAGCTGCGGCTTTAAATCATTGCCTCAGCCACTTCTGTGTGCCAATGTAAGTTGTTTTCCTACTTCAACCATGATGTTTTAATTGCATTTTTTGGTAGAAAGCTCTTGGTGGCAGTAGCAGCTGAAGCATCTCTTAAAGCACCAGATATGTTACATCTAAAACTAATATTATGCTTTTTTTTTTTCTTAGAGGTAAGGGATGTTCTAAAAATGTTATTTTGAATATAAGAGGAATCTGATTTCAGCTGTATCTCAAATGTGAAAATAAAGTGTCACTCATGCATACTATGTTTTATAGATGTGCCCATAAACTCATCTGGCTTTGAAAAAAAGATGAAGGAGTGAAGATACTTTCTTCACTTGTAGATTAGTCAAGAAAATGCATTGATGTATGATTAATGCTGTGACATTCTAAAAGCTGAATTTAAATTGCACATAGCCCATGCTTAATGCAAAGATGACTGGAGTCATGAATCTACTTCTAAAGAGATGTTTGTAAATCACAGATCAGATTTCACAAGAGACTATTGAGGGTTGCAGGCCCCATTGAGATTTCATGTTGTTTTCTCCAACCTCATTGAGCCTTGTCATACTACAGAAGTTCTGAGATCTTTTTACTGTAAAATTCAGTATTTGTGTTTAATTCCAAAAGCTTTTTAAATCTTGGAAAAATATTAACTTATCAGTTATTGCTGACTTAGATCTTGAAGTCAATAAATGAGTGATGGCTGACTAGATTTATCGCTAAATATATTTGAAACTAAAATAATCTGTAGGAGGAAAATGTGAATCTGTTCCCAAAGCACTGTCACATTCTGTCTGGAAACAGTTTCAGAATTAATTCCCTCTCTTCTGAAGTTAGAATTGTTGAAAATGCTTAATATTACCAGTGAAGAAGATATTAGTAACTGGGGATTTTTTTATATGATTTGTATAGAAAATCAGGAGCTTTTGATTGTTTCCAATATGAAGAATAGAACCATAAGTATTCTATCCATGTTTCTTCATTTGTGAAAACTAATTTCATTGCCTATTGAAGAAAAGAGTGGAAATGATTACTGGAAAAGGACAAATACTATAAAAATAAGAGTTGGACTTGTTTACTTAAAAAAAAAAAAAAGTTGGTGTGCCAGCTGATTACAAAGTAATTGTCAGTAAATCTACCTTTAATACTTAACAATAAGTTGCAGACAGTGGAAACCCCTTATATTTTCTTTTAAAAAAATAAATTGTTTTTTGTTTTTCTTTGAAGGGTCCAGATCACCAGACAATCTTATTCAACCATGGAGCTGTTCAGAATATCGCACATCTGTTAGTCTCCACCTCCTACAAAGTAAGACATTAAAATTATTCCGTGTTTTACATATATTTATGAAAGAAATCCAAATGAAGATTGTAAAAACTATGTCTACACATATGAACTAGAACTATAAAGAGGTATAATGTATATTTCTAGAAAAACAGTTGTTTTTATTTGTCCTATGAATTTCTATCAAAATGAGACATATTGTTTTGGAATGCTCTGTAAAGTTAAAACACCATTAATTAAAACAGAGGTGGCTGTTGTTGATCCAAAGGAAAACGGTCACTCGGCAAGCCAATAGAAATGGTCTAATTTGTTGAACAATAAATCAGAAAAAGAAATTAAGCCAAAGAAAAGCAAATGTGAGCTGTCGTAAACAGAAGTCATACCTGTGAAAACATGGATATGGAATGCGTGGAAGCCACCATCTACCTGTGCTTTGTGCTCGCTGAATTTCACGAGTTTCAGCTCCATCTCTGTTACGTTTTAGAAGTTCATCCTGGACTATCTGAAAGTACCACCTCTGGGGCAAAGCATCATATTCTACCTGTAACTTGGTGGCAAGGAGGGTCAACTAGCTCTTCTCAGTCTAACGCCATAATTTCAAATCCTGAGCACAGCCTTAATCTCGTGTAGATTACTTAATAAAATGTTTGAATGCACAAAATGCTTTCTGAGGCTCTTCTGTGTAGTTTGTTTTTTTGAGGGCTAACAGATATCTGCTATGCAAATAATTTTGAAATCTGGCTGAAGCCAATCCTATGATGTCTAAGCAGTTGAACTTCCGGACTTTCTCATGAAGATACCAGTTTATCCCCAGCTCTTCTCTGCCTCCCCCCCACCCCCCCCCGCCCCCGAATGAATGACATGCATTCAGTATGAATGTCATTATTCTGAAAATAAGAAACAATTCAAAGTATCCAAATTTATCTTGAGTTATTTTTACTACAATATCTAATATGTTATTGGGCCGTTTTTATTTTATTGAAAGTAGGCTGTTTGCTGATTGATTGAGACTGGATGAGATAATTGTGCTTGTCTATTTTGATCTCCTACCTCATGACGAACATTCTTGATAAAGTATCTTTCAGCAGGAAAACTAGTCTTTAAATGAGAATTTCAAGTGAAGGGAAATTTGCTGCTCTGTTCTAGGGGCTTGTTAATCTCATGTGTGGTTCTTTTTGTTTGGTTTTGGGGTTGGGGGGGGTGGTGTTTATGAATCCAGTAGGAAGTATGCAGTCTTCAATATTTTGTTAGTGAGACTGATAAGCTTCTGTTTTCTGTCTTTATGTACTAAGTAGTTTTCACCATGATCAGGCAACATTTTGTTCTTTCTCCCATTAGCTGACCTTTTTTACCGTGTATTGTAAGGTGAATTTTCCAGGCTATGTTTGGCTTGGAACCCTTTCTAACAACTTCGAACCTTCCCTAATTTTTTCAAAGAGCTGCTTTAAAATAAAGAAATTGGAGCAATGTGAATTTTTCACGTTGCTTTTTCACCAACAAGGTACATGCAGTCTTGCATTAAAATACATATATTTAGTCCTACCTTACTGGAGAGATGTATAAAGTATTCTCTATTTTCTCCTTTGCTAGTTTGGTCAGGCCTTTAAGTTCCAGGTGTACATACTGAACTGCTCTTCATACACTTTCCTCTGTTAATACTCCTGGGATTAAGAGCTTCATTGTGGTCTTAGCTGCTTTCCTAGTGTTCTGCAGTAATTAGACATTCTCAGATTTCTAATGTAACTGATCCATTTTTGTAGATTACCAGCTATCTCATTCTCACACCTCTCTATACAGTTTCTTAATATTCAGCCAAATAAGAGCTTAACAGGAAAACACAGCATTTAAAAACTTTGCTTATTTTTCAATACTTGCAGTAAAGGTCAGCAAGGTATCTTAGATGATTTAGGCAGTAGGACGACACCAATAAACAGCAGAAACCCTCAAAATGGGATTTCAATCCCCATGAGAAGAGTTTGTCTAGGTCTGCCAAGAGAGTTGCCTATTATTTTTCAATAAACTCTTTTCCTTTGGTTTTGGGATTGTCCCATAGCCAGCTGTTTCTACAAATATCTTTCCTATGTGTTATATCATTACAAGTGTGCATCTTCACCACTGGTGAGATGTCTTAACACAAAGGGACTACAGCTTATACAGTGGAATTACAGATAATGGTTTCAAGACCATATTTACATATTTTTCCAAATGCTTGCGTTCCCTGTTTCTCATGTAACTACTGAACTAATTGCCCTTAAGTAGACATTACTAGCAAAGAAAGTAGTCATCATAGTAATTTTAATATCTTTAATCAGTAGAGCAATATTATATAAAATAGTTAACTTCCAGCTAGACTTCAGTTGTCCTCAGTAGAACCGTTAGCCCCTGCCCCTGACTTCCTGCTGGCAGAAATACAGCTCTTGAGCTGTGGGTTTGACTTTTTTCAGTGCTTTTTTGATACACAATCTCGCCTTCCTGCTACTTTGAAGGATACACTGTATTCATTAGATTGTCTCAAAAGTAAATGCAACTGTTGTCAAACAAGGCTTTTGTTCTGAAGCCAGGTAACCTGCTATCTGTTCCTCCTAAGACTTCACGACTACTGATAAGAGATCTTACTGTGGCTATGATTAGATATAAAATTAACACACAGAAGTGTGATTGTCTTTGCCATTGTTGTCTACCCTTGGACTTCCATGTTTCTAAGACTTTTTGTTGAGGAGGATGGGATGGGCCTAAATCTAACTTGCAGTAAGTGCTTTCTGCAGTGATGGGGTTCTTTAGGTCAAAATCTTGTTCCTTTTTCTTTGTTTTCACACTAAGAATATGGTAACAGAAACATGGAAAGACATGGACACAGTTTAAATATGTGCAACTCTAGAAGGTGAAGACGAAGGCTAATATCTGAACTAAATTAGATTGTTCATCTGGGAAGATGATAATGGTTGGTCTTCCCTGTGTCAGAAAAGTTGTTATAAAGACTTCACAGCCTAGTGTGACTAGGCAACCATGAAATACTGTTTGGTTACAGCAAGACATGGTTTTGGACTGGAGGATGAAGATCCAGCATGAAGAAATTTGTGAATCCTTCTTGTACAGGTGATACCTGAGGCTGTGTAATAGCAGTAAAACTTATGGTATATATTTGTTTTAAGATTAGTTCAGAATCACTTCAACTGGATGGTTCTCTGTAGGCATTTTATTAAACTTAGGTTCTCTGTAGATATTTTATTAAACTTAACCTTTAAAGGCTTCTGAAATACAAATCTCAACAACATGTATTACTGATTCTCTTATATACTTATGAGTCCTGGAAAGAAAAAGTACTACTGTTATGATACTTCTATTCTTTTGTTGTTGTTTGCATGTTTGTGAGACATCACAAATAAGACCAGTATTTCGGACTGTCTAGTTACCAAGTTTTATCCTTGCTTGTTTTTTTTCACAAGTAGTTCACAACATACCCTATAGAAGGATAATTCCAACAGAGAGATCACAGGAATGAAGGTGTGAGTTAGATGTTTCTGTCTGCCTTGTATTCATCACCTATATTTCTTATTACTTATATAGAATTATTTTCTGCAAGCCTATACAGCAGTATAGACCAATTTTTGCATTTTAAGTTAGTGTTTACATTTATACTTAATATATATAATGTTTTTACACAGGTTCGAATGCAAGCATTGAAATGCTTCTCAGTTCTAGCCTTTGAAAACCCCCAGGTATCAGTGACTCTTGTAAATGGTAAGTATAATGTTGCTGTTGGCTTATTTGACAGTCATTTTGTTGATTGGCTGAATTAGAATTACTTGGAGTTCTCTTTCATTGCTTGCAGTGTCGGTTGATGGAGAATTGTTACCGCAAATTTTTGTGAAGATGTTACAAAGGGACAAGCCTATTGAAATGCAGCTCACATCAGCCAAATGGTAATTTTCTTTGGGAATTAGAATGAAATAGTATACAATTTAATATGTAGTTTTTAACTGTTCCCTTTTTGCTTGTTGCAAAGTAATGTGATCTAAAATCTTAGGAATAATTACAGATATTTGCATTAATCTAAATCCTTGAAGAAGTGGTTCTCACCTAATAATCTTTATAGCATAACTTTCACTCTTTGCTGGATATAGACAGGAAAAAATGTTGCTGGGCAGCAGTTTTGTCAGGAACATGTATTCACATGTGGATTTTCACAAGCTGAACTGCAGTTTTCACAAGTAGCTTGGTTTTTATGATAAGTTTTACTTTGGATAGGCTATGGTCAATTGTATGTCCTTACAGAGTATAATACTGAGATATAATCATGTAGTACAAGTTAATGTCCTTGTTGCACGACTGTTCAGAGGACTCACTCAGGTGACTGGGGCTGTGGTGTGTTGACAACTGTATGCACTAAGATGATGAGAGAGCAGACCTAGTTCCTCTTCCCAACTGTTTTAATTAAAATAGATTACTCTTTAAGCTTCATGTCTTCATACAGCAGAATTAATGTTATTAATTAATTTTATAGTTCAAATCAAACTTTCCCTTCTGGTGGCACATTTCTGTGTGTTTGTATTCATAATGACTTTCTACTCCGTGACAAAATGTGACCAAGTTCCATAACAGCAACACTAGGGTTATACTCGCTTCATAAGCTGGGAGTTGACTCCCTTTAAGACCCTTTTCCTTTTGTTGTGTTGATAATGGAATAAATTACTTCAGGGGGTTAAAGAGAAAAAATTACCCACCACTATAAACTACTAAAATTAAACGTAACTTAAGAGTTTGGGCACTGATGTATTGTTTGATTATTCTTTTAGATTTTGATGGCTTATTTTTGACCTGGATCAGTGAGTTCTCTGATTCAGTTCAGCAAACAATTTCACTGACACTTGTCTCAGTGCAAGGTCTTGAGATTCTGGGTGAGGTGGGGTAGGTAGGATGGCCTCTTTTGTAATATTGCCAGGTTATGATGACTTAACCCATTCATGAAAGAAGTTATAAAGACATTTGGCAGGGGGGGGGGGGTGTCTTAGGTAATCCCACTCTATATGGGAGGCCTGTCTAGGGACCTCCCATGCTCCATTCCCACCACAACTGGTCTATGCAATCTGGTTTTACTGGTTTTGTTAGGTAGCTCTTAGTGAAGAAGCCAAGTTAAATTAACTGCATTGTACAGTCTCAGTCCTGATTGATTTATGTGTTTCTTTGAGAATTGAGAGAATACATAGAGAATTAAGTATTAGAAATTTTTTTTTTTCCACTGATCTCGAGATACAAGGCATTGATAAGTCATGAAGGCAGATTGGAGTTAAAAGAATTGCCTGGCTCTGGACTTTTCTTCTTGTTCTGGGATGAATGCTCCCAGGTCTATTGGTGTTCTTTACTGATCTGCTTCAAATTGGAAGGAGTTGGGTAGGCAATCCCATCTTTTGTTGTTGCTTTGCAGTACTTTGGCTCAAGCAGACCTTTGAAAGCATGGAAAAATATGATGCAGTGAAAAGCAAAAAAGAAAATTGCAGGAAAATGGAAGACAAACCATTATCTTGAGTTTCAGACTGGGTTTCTAATTAGTCCACAGGCAGTCATCCTTCTTAGTAGGGCACTCAAGGCCTCAGTTTCACGACAGTCCTGGGGGCTTGCAAGGCCCTACTGGCTTTTCTTCTGTAAGTCCATTCCCTACTCGATTCCCTCCAAGTCAGACTATCTCTCTTTTCTTTTTTTCTATTGAGAGTAGTAGGTGCAATTGTCACAGGTCCTCTTTTTTTCTGCTTCTAAATTAGACTTCACTCCTGCCTTGCCAGCTCTGGTCAATTAATCTGCAGTTCCTTTCTGATTTGTTAGGAGAGTCCTTGGAATGTGGATGTAGAAGGGGTTTTTTATGCATTTGTGAAGCCTTTTGTTAAATTTCTGTTTGAATCCAGACTGGCATGCAAGGCTATCTTAAGAATTGTTTTTCAACAATTGAAGTAGATGTGGAAGACCCAAATTAATACCTCTTGATTGAAATAAAGATCCTTCTTCACTTGAGTGGCAGTGTTGGCACAGAGGGAAGAGCAGTAAGCCTCTTGGGAGAACGATTTTACAGCTACAAGTGGAGCAGTAACCTTTTCTACTAAAATTACTGGAATTGCTTCCAGCTAAGCCAAGCCTATTTTGCCTGAAGTAAAAATACTTGAACTTATTTCATGTTTGAAATAGAGCTGCTTTGTCTGGCAAATAGGGTCTAGCTGGGCTAAATGGGAACTGCAAGATGGGTGCTTTCCTCCTGATTGTTCAGGTGTGAAAATGAGTATTTTGTCAGCCACAAGGCTTGGACAGTAAAAGTTTATAAAAATTACCTCTATGCTAACAATCAAGTCATATCTTTTCTCTTCTGAGAAATAATATATACAAAGACTTCTGATTATGGGATTTTAGCTATGTCTGTCACTCGTAGGTGTTTGGAACAGGATCAATGATGTTACCTTCTAAGAGGTGAAAGAACTCTTTAGGCACTTGGAAAGAGCTCAGGAATGCAATGAATCACAATATGCTTACAGTATGTTAGCATATTACTGCTCCTCAGCTGAGCAATTATAATTGACCCTATGTATGCTTTTAACCTGCCCACTGAGAGTTGAAACATGTTAGTTTTAAGTCACGTTTACTGAAATGCCATTATTTCTTTAACCTCAACTGTGGTATGATAAAAGCCAGTTACAATGGCTTAGTTCAAAAGCTAAAACAAGAGATACTTGACTGTTCCCGCACTGAGTGCAGAGCAGTTATCCCCCAGCTTCATTCCACTTCCTTGTAGCAGAGCAGGTAAAAACGATAAACCACTTAAATGTAAAACACTTTTATTGGTGAGTGAACTACTTTGCGTTTCTGGTAGCTTGGAGCATGTGTACAGGTAAACTAACAAAGCAACTTACGCATTTGTATGATGTTGTGTGTCAGCATTGTAGTTTGAGACCTTGGAGTTGTGATACCCACTTTCTAAGTTGCTGTCTAATAAAGAACAAATGCTGGTTTCGTTCACTGTCAGGGACTTAATTGGGTTTATCATTAGTAAGAATGTGCTTATTCCAGCAGTGTGTTAAGACATGCTTGTGGACAAGCATCACAGCGGTGCTGCATCTCCTAGGCTAACGCAAAGCTTGAATGGTTTCTGACTAAGCTGTCAGACTACCAACTCGCTATTGATTCTCTCCTGACTGTTTTAAGTGCTTGCCCATACTGTGTGCAGCAAGGACAGTGTATATTGCTACTTTATCTTAATGCAGGTTGTTAATTTTGGATTTTTTGTTGGTAAGAGAGGTTTATGGATCAATCGAGTTTGTTGGTTAGACCTTTTTTGACCAGTGTGTGGTATATGTGTTGATCAGTGCTCCAGCAAGATGTTCTGTACTAGAAATCTGCTTAAAAGTACGCCTGTAGTAGTTTGTTCGTGTGCCCAAGTCTAGTAAGCACAAATGTATTTAAATCAATGGTGGAACAAAGGGGAGTACCTTTCATTAGCACAGTTGGTCTGCTACATCTTTCTTAAGTGCATAAAAACCAATTGTAGGTGAATACATGTTTTATTATGTTGTTACAGCCTTACTTCCATGTGCAGAGCTGGAGCAATACGGACAGATGATTCTTGCATCGTTCTTAAGGTGAGCTGGTTAAACAGTTTTCTGTTTAGAATGTTTTTCTCACGTAGGGCTATCCTGGTTTTATTTGTCTCATATAAAAAGTAGTACAAAATTGGTTCCACTGAAGATTTCAAAGCACCAAGTTCTCCTGATTTTTTTTATCTAAAAAATCAGTTCCCTAGTTTCCCTTTCTGTCTTTAAGCATTTATAGTGACATGGCTTTTTAAAGAAGTTTTAAATAAAGAATCATACTAAAAGGTCAATATCCAGGAATAAATATCCTGGAGTTTGACACACATCTCTTTTGAGATTTGTAATCATTTCAGTAACCATTTTTAAGTAACATGGAAGCAACATTACTGTCTTGGTCTCTGTATATGAACAAGGCACCAGTTTGTCTTTCAATAGCTTATTTCACAAAGCTATAGCCAGAATACTTGCACAGTTTATACGTGGAGTCTGTCACGAGTAGATGATTTCTCAGGTTTCATGATGTTTTTGTACGTTTGTCTGCTTCATAATTTGGCTAGGGAAATTTGTTACAAAAAACCCCAAACCTGTCATGCTGAAAGACTGGATTTGATTTTTTATACTGCATGTGACTTTATAAGGAAATTCAGTAAAGGAAACTTCATTAAATACCATGGGAATGTAATCTGTTTCTTAATAGTCACACTTCTATAGCTAGACAAAAGAAAAAAGTGTTGATGAGAAAACATATCAGCCAGAGATCAGATAACAACAACACTGCTTGTTTCTCCATGAGATATTGAAGTATTACTGTAGTACTGCAATAAGAAAACCTGTTTGCTTTCTTTGATAATTACTGTAGCAGTCTGGCAGACTCCAAAGCTTTTAGTATGTTTTTAGCATCCTTCATTCCAGAGAATAACACATGGTTCAGACTTAAGGAAATGCAGATTAAATGCTTGAAAAAATTATTTTTTCCCCATATGTGCCCCTGTACTGAGATTGAGAAGACTACATGTGCTCTTGGAATGAATCTAGCAAGTGAAGGATCTAATCAGCAAAGCAGTCATTGTGTGGATTTGGTGGTGTGTGATCTGAGACCTAGTAACTTTTTACAAGAGTTCTTTGTCTTTGGCTGTGAAGGCCCCTCTGTGGTGTTCAGATCCTCTTGTGAACAGACAGCTAAGTGTATGCGTGACCACAGAATGGGCTGCAAGTCCATGGTACTGCAGATAGCTGTGTGTACTGCTTAAAACAATAAATGCTTACCACCAAAGGCTACTGGTTAGTATCTTCTGACTGCGGTCTGGTGCAAACCCCTGATGGCTCCTGCAAGCTTATATTTTAAACTGGAAAACTATAATGAGAGTGTCAAGAGCTGTCCCTTAGTCCTACTCTTTGGTAATGCTGGGGAAAGAGTAGCTTGTATGTAAGATACTGGAATAAGAAAGCATATTTATTCCTTCCAATATCCATGGCCATAGAGTCTGGCATATCTATGGCTTGTGTTAGTGCAATTTTGGTATCCATTATTCCAGGTAATGACAAATGAAAAATCCATATGTTTGCTGACACAAAGGCCCATTCTTTCTGTCTCTTTACTCAAGAAAGTCCAAAATGCAATTCATTCCAGTCTTGATAGTGGTATCTCTTCTGTACAGGCATCTGGTCTTAGAGCAAGTAAGGAAGCCAAGCTGCGTCCTTCTTCCTCATTCACCTATTTAGCTTTTTTCCAAATTGACACTCCAATTCCCTGTTCTCTCTTCTTTTTTATTACAACACCTGCAAACTGAGGGCTACAATTCTGTGCTCCCAACCTGTCTTGCTCCTGTAAACCTCATTCTTCTTTTGAAAGTTTCTTCCCTTCAGAAATCCCTAACTGTCATTTCAACCACAGACTATGTCCTAGTCAGGACATGTGGGTTCCAGAACTGTGCTGCTCTGGGGAGAAGAAATAGGGGTCTACTGCTGTAGGCAAAGGCAGGTTATTGCTGATAGCTGGCTGCTAACTTTATGTGGGGCTATGCATGCTCTGCCATGTGGGCTGAATGGAAAACTGCAGTCCTTTCAAACCACTATGAACTGATTTGCTTGCCAGTTCACAGCAATAAGATCACTTTGTTTTTTATGGAAGCTGCTCCAGTGCAAATAAATGTTTTAAGCTGTAGACTAAAATTTGTTGTAATACTTGAGAGTAGAATAAAGAGTGAGGAGAGGAGGAAGGCACAGAACCTTGCCTTCTTGTTCAGACTCCTCAGGTAATCCCTTCTTTTCTTCTGGGGTCACTCCAGGAGCTCATAGTTTTAAGATAACACACTGTCTCAGTCTGTAGTAAATCCAGTCACAAACTGTTTGACCTCTGGTGAACTAAGACAAAGCAATGCCCCCTTTAGTTTTCAGAAATTATTGAAGAGAACTTTGGCCCTTTGCTATCAAACTTCCTTATTTTAGAGGACAGTCAGGGATGTGTGTTTCCAAAATGGTTTTGATTTATTTTCATTGCCTGGTTTGAGTAGTGGGTTGGCCTGTAACACGTGAAAAAATAAAATTCTTTGGGGTGGGGAGAAGGCAGACGTGGCTGATAAATAATGGATTTGACTGGAAGGGGAATTATTTCTCTGGAATCCTAATAACGAAAGTGACTGTTTGTCCAGATAACCCTGAAGCATCCCAGCGATACCATGTGAATTAAGTATTCCATCTTTACAGTCCATTTTCAGACTTTTATCTGCTGGCCAGAAAAGGTCAGGTGTGCTTTGTGGTTCTTCATCTTACACCTCTAATACAGTCCCCTACTCCTCTGCATTAATTACGTTGTACTGACCTGTAGGTCTAATGGAACAGTTAAAATGTGTCCTTCAGAATTCTTGATTTTGTTTTTTTTAAACAGATGGAGTTGCTAAAAGTTGGACAGTATGCGATTTGTGTTTCTTGGGTGCTTGCAGCCAGTGACTTAACAACATCTAGCCCTTGAATTCCAAAAAATAGCTCACTTCAGGCCATTTGACCTTGGAAGGAATTGGGAAGTACATTATCTTTGTGATTTAGGCATGGAATTCCGCTTCTTTTCATTCTTACTCCACCTGAATGTGATTTCTTTGAGAGCTTATGTTCAGCTTTCATGATTTTATTTACGCTAGCCTCAGTTTTTAATACACCTTATACCAGCTTGGTAATTGAAACTGAGGATACTTAATTATTATGCTGCAGTTCTAAATTCTACAGATTAAAAAGTATAGTAATAATTAAATGCCTGAAGGCCTTTAAAGCAAACTTTGAACAAACTTGCAGAGGTCCTAGAAATCTCACTTTTGGAATGAGGTAATTTCTGAGGGCTGCTTAAATTTACCAAACCTCAGCAGCTGTCTTCTTTTTTAAAGAGTCCTTAGGTGTGTCTGTGCTGTCAAGCTGAAAGTCTTATCTGATGTCTTAAGTGACAGATAAGCAGAGAGGAAGTGCTTTGGTTCACTGGATTAGGTACAAGATTCACAACCTAAATAGTAATCCTTGTGGTAGCATCTACTTTTTTAATAAACATAGGCAAGTCCTGTAACTGCTTCCTTACCTGTGGAATGAAGATAAGATATTTATCTATTTAATCATTTGAACAGTCAAAGGATAAATGTTATTTCAGGTCCCCAAAAACATAACTTTGAGAAACATTTTCTACTAGTGTAATTCTGTTGAAGTCAGTGGAGTTACACAAGCAAAAACCTTGATACTATTCCTTATCCATTTTCATACTTCTATTTGGTGAGGCTCGAGTGAATGGAGTCCCCACCATTGGAGAACTGGTCTTTCCAGAGTTAAGTGCTTTTCATTGAGCTTCAGGTAAAGAAAGATTTGATTGTTTTTAATATTTAAAGTAGAGAAGGTATGACAAAAATGCTGACTGTGAGTGTAACCAAGGTAGGAGGGTCTGTCAGGTTAAGGCAGAATGGACCTGGACTCCAAGTGGACTTCATTTCTGGTTGACCAAATATACTACTTAGGAGTAGTCTTCCCTTCCCTGCTACTCCTAGCAGCCAGTGTGCGTCAAGGAAGCCCTGAGATTATTTTTGACTGCATTGTCCTTAGTCAATCTTAGATCACAAAAGGGCAGGAGGGGTCAAATACTTCTTGAGGGCAGCTTGGGTACTTTTGGTTCTTGTGTGTAGTAAGAATAAACCTGTGCAAATATGAACTTTTGAGGGGATGGGGGGTTTTTTTGGGGGGGGGGGGGGGGGTTTGGGTTTTTGTTGTTTTGGTGTTTGGTGGTTTTGGTTTTTTTTTTTACCTTTTGCGAAACTTTGACCATGGTCACTTCTAAACATTGCATTCACACAGACTAATTTTGACTGCATGAGAAGTTGGTTGAAAGTAGCCTACTGTATACTTAGTAATGTCTGAACAATTTCTCTGTGTGTGTAGTCTTTAAAACCACTAAAATCTTTGTCTGAAGGTACCAATTTAAAGAACTTCTTGAGAATTGCTGTAGGATAGCTATTTGATTTTTTTTGTGAGCTGCTTTATGAATGTAGCTGCACTAAAGAGTGGTGGGTTTTTGTTTGTTTGTTTGTTTTGAAACTTTTCAGACTCTGCCATGTTTGGTTCGAATGTGTAGTAAGGAAAGACTGCTGGAGGAGCGAGTGGAAGGAGCAGAAACACTGGCCTATTTGATTGAAACAGATGTGGAGCTCCAGAGAATTGCCAGCATTACCGACCACCTCATTGTCATGCTTGCTGACTACTTCAAGTATCCCAGCTCAGTGAGTGCAATCACTGATATCAAGAGGGTACGTTTCCTTACCCAGTTCTGAAGCTTTGAAAATGTGCAAAACCAATAAAAAATGGGCTCAGGATATTTCTTTTTTTACTCCATTTAAAACTTATGTCTGAGTTCCTCAATAGAAAGGTGACCAGAGGTCCAGTACAACTTGATTCCTGATGCATATAGTTCCCAAGTCTTTGCTTGCTCACTGCTTTTTCTGGAACTTTTATTATCCAAACTAAAATCATTGTGTATATCTGGACTCCCCATCCTGTAAGAAGAATGCTGCCATTCTTCTGTGTCAAATATAGAGAGATGGGCAATGGGCAGTTTAATGTAGCTTCACCATATGAGTTCCGTTACGTTTTCCAGAGATAGCAATGAAGCACCAGACTGAGATATCTGTCATGGTTCTCCTTTGCAGAGTTTAAAAGACTTACCTTCAGGAACCAGTACGTTTCAGCTTCATAAGAGATAATAGTCCATCTGATGAGAGAGCGATTTCAATTCTTAGGTCATGTTTGTGAACAATGTTAAGTTCAGAGATGGTTCTATTCTGTTAAAGCAGAAAAACATGTGGATGTCATGTAGCATTTCATATTGTGAGTTATCTGCACTTGCAAGACGTTGGATAAACAGAGACCAGATGGACCTTGGAGACTTAGTTTCATAGGTGTTGTACTAGGAGTTCTCATCGGTGAACTCTTTTTTACAGATTTGGATACACTTTCCAAATCACTAGTGGATCAATCAAAGCACTAGTGGATCCATCAACCTCAGAAGCAAGATTGTTTTTGATATTTTGCATAGGGAAATATCCATTGCCTATTCTCTTCCCCTCTTAATGAGTCTGATTTTTTTAGAAAGTACCCCCCAAAAAAAGGACTACAGAGCCTTGGTTTTTCTCTGAAACTAGCCCAAGAGGTAGACTTGCCTTTCAGACTTTTATAGAATGGCATTGATTCTGCATATAGAGCTGCCTTGAATTCCATGTAAAAATGCAAATTAAATATAAAAAAAAATCAATTGCAGTATAAAATTAAATAAGCAGAAGGAAGTTTAGCAGCTGATTGAGGAATAATGAATGTTGGCTGTAGCATCAAAAATATGATTAAGTTCCAAATGTGAGTGGGGCAATTATAAATATTATGACAATGCTTTGAGTGTTCAGAAAGTCTGTAAAAACAGTCAGCTGGGAAGCCAGGGTGCTTACTTTGTAAAGAATGATTTGAATTACACCCTGTAGGGTAAAAACTACATGAGTGAGGACTCTACCAAACCGATTACTTGTCTGTTTTAAATGTTTTTAACAATGATGTAATACATTCTGCTCTAATATAGCTGCACCAGAGAGAATTGCTCATACAGCTCAATTTTGGACAGTTCTTTTATTTCAGTGCTTTGCTGCTTAATAGCGCTTTTCTGGCATTCTGTGTAGACTTTAAATATTGCATTGTTTTGTGGAACCCTTTGCTACAGAGTTTTGAGGGCAGTCAGAATCATAGAATCATTCTCATTGGAAAGAACGTGAAGAGGTCTGAAAGTCTTAATTTTCTGTTCAAAGCAGGGTCAGTGCTGAGCTTGGAGGAGATTGCTCAAGGCTTTGTCCAGTTGGCTCTTGAAAACCACTAAGAATGGAGATTAAGCAACCTCTCTGAGCAATCTATTCCAAAGTTTGACCATTCTAATAGTGAACTTCTATTTCTTATATCCAGGAAGAACCTCTCCTGTTTTGATTTGACTATTGTCTCTCCTCTTGCTGTGCACCTCCATAAAGAGTCTGGCTCCATGTTTTCCTTGTAGGTATTGGAGGGCTGCTCTTAGGTCTCCACTCAGCCTTCTCTTCTCCTGGCTGAACAAGCCAGGGTACATCCCATCTGCTCTGCCAGGTCTGCTCTCCTGAAGTCAAGGCTCTGTACTCTGTGCCTTTCTCACGCCTCTCAGCAACTTGAACACTGCTGTTTTATGATCCCTATAGCTAGTGCTCCCATTAATTATCATACCCCTAAGCAGTTTTTCCTGATTTGCGAGCAGCCTATCCAGTAGTGCATCACCCTAATTCACCCCTTTAGCACACATGTTAAGAAGTTACCTTCCAGAAACCTCCTAGACAGCTTGCAGCCTGCTGTGTTACCTTTACAGTGGAAGCTGGAAGTTAACATCCACCTTAAGATGGAGGTCCTGTGATTTAGAGACCTGCTTTGGTTCCTACTTTTGCTTCAGTTCTCTTGATAAAACTTCCCTTGATTGTCTCCCAATTTTTTCACTTCTCCTGGCTAGTTCCTATAAATTTCTCTTGGGTAAATAAGAATCGTTTTTGCCTGAATATGGTCTGGATAGAGTTGTAACTTTATAGAGGTGTTTTGGCCTCAAATTGTTTAAGTTGACTTATCTGTAACTCCACAGAGAAATTAACCGTATTCTTAACTTCAGTTATATTATTCAGTTGGTAAATGTGGACATCAGCTAATGGAACAGCAGTTCATTTGTGTTTCTGGCTACCCTTGGTGTGGTAGACAAAACCCCAGTAGACAAGCACTAGATTACAACAAATAAGAATATCACATCTGTAATTTTTTAGTGTCTAAATTTCATATCTGTGCTTTATTTAAATAGCTTGACCATGATTTGAAGCATGCCCATGAACTGCGCCAGGCTGCTTTCAAGCTCTATGCTTCCCTGGGAGCAAATGATGAAGATATTCGAAAAAAGGTGAGCCTTTGAAAAAATGTTAGCAGTCAGGCAAAGATGTAGCTGAAAGTTAGGCTGGAAGGCAGTGCAAGAGTTTGCACCCTTCCAGCCCCCTTTTTTTTTCATTGTGATGTAAATAGGTTGAAAGGAGAAAGCTCTCTTTCTGTTACAACAGAAACTTTCAGATTGCACTTCCTTTGCATGGTTTTGAACAAAAATTAATGTCTTGCCATAACAAAATATAAGAGTAAGGTTTATTTATGTAAACATCTTTACAGTGATGAACTATAGATTCTCACAATAAGTTGTCTTTCAACATGTGGTCCTTGCTACTCATAAGCTGTGCAGGAATATTGTTGTGGCATATGAATAATTTCTGAAATGTATGTTCTGAGGGACAGAATATACCTCTGTTGTCATGTATCCTATTATAAAACAAATGTTTTTTTCAAAAATAACCCCTGGAAAGTCTAATCATGTTGGGAAACAAAGCCAAAATGTTTTCCATGATTCTGAAGTGACCAAGGGGGCTTGCACTGTCATAACAAAGCAGTTGCTGTGAAGGAAAACAAATTCTATTCAAACATCACGGGGAAGAGATTGGATGATTGGAGCACTGATACAGTTAAAAATTTATGTGTGGAAAGTGGAGGGGAATTAAACAATGAATTATTAAAAGCAGCATGTTTTTAAATTAAGCATGGAGTTGCTAATGTCAAACGTGGCAAGTACAGGAGGCAGGAGAATTTTCTGAGTTTATTTGCTGGTTAAAGGGGAAAAACAGAGGGAAGAAAGTTATGGACAGAAAGGAGGCAGGAAAACAGTGTTGAAAAGATAACTAGCAGGAAGATTTATCAGTGGGGAACCATTCAGGATCTCCAGAATTCAAACCCATAAACTTCTATTTTGTTGCAAGATGAACTTCTTTAGTTAATAGTAAGGATCCTTCTTTTACATATTGAAGCATTGTTTTTGATAAGTGATGGGTGCGTAGACAACAAAGTTGATTTATTATACAAAAGCTGTCTTTCATCTTGGTATTTAACTCCCTTTTATCCTAGTCTTAAGTACTTGTGCTGGCCATGTCTAAATATGGCAGATGAACTACTGTGTATTTCCAGATAGCTCTATAACATGTCTCTAATCTGTAGTTTTTTATATATTTTATATATTGTGTGCTCTCTTTTCGTAGAATCATAGAATCGCTTAGGTTGGAAAAGACCTTTAAGATCATCAAGTCCAACCGTAACCCAACACCACCATGCCCACTAAACCATGCCCTGAAGTGCCTTGTCTACGTGTTTTTTGAGTACCTCCAGGGATGGTGACGCCACCACTTCCCTGGGCAGCCTGTTCCAATGCCTGACAAGGCCATTTTGTTTTAATATGACATTAAGGCTAATTCATATATGTATAACCCTCTTGTTCCTTGATGATTAATAAAATAATTTTGAAAGCTGTAGTGGAGCACAGAATGTAGATTTTTTTTCTTTTTTTTTTTTTTTCTAAATTGTATGCAGATACACATTACTTTCCATTTACTCTGGGAAGAGAATGTGGCTTGCTGTTTTTTAGCTACAGTTTTTGTATGCAATATTTAAAATGTTGCAGACAAAACCCCAGTAACCCATAAATGCTTATATTATTTTATTCATATAATATTCATTCCTTTTTGCTCCAGATCATTGAGACCGAAAATATGATGGACCGTATTGTTAATGGCTTGTCTGAATCTAGTATCAAGGTGCGATTAGCTGCAGTCAGGTAGGAGGCTTTTCTGATTCATACAAATACTTTTGTCTTGTCAAAGTCTGTTGCTACACTTGTTAGAATTTCTGCTCATTTTTCAAAAGCTAATCTGAAGTCATTTCTACTGATGGAAAATTTATTGGTGGTGGTGGTGGGGAGTTATCCTGGACTAATACAATATTTTCTTTTTGCTATTTACAGTCTACTACTTACCAAATTCTAAGCTGAATCTTTGTGTAGAAGCAATGTATATATTACAGTAGTGTACGTGTGAGTGTGTATGTTTCACAATGAAGGTTTCTTTTCCATTATAGATGTTTGCACAGTTTGTCCCGTTCTGTACAGCAGCTCAGGACAAGTTTTCAGGATCATGCTGTATGGAAACCTTTAATGAAGGTAAGTAAAGAAAAGTCAAGTCTCAACTACTGAAGTGTTCTGTTCCATTAAAGGAGGATATGGTCTCTGTTCAATTTTCATGCCTTTCTGTAGAATCATAATAGAAATTAACCTAGAAATCAGAATTCCAGGACCTTCTCATAAGAGTCATAAATCCACACAGGCCAAGCAGCAGCAAAGAGGACTGTGGTCCATGCTTGATTTTTGGTTGAGTTTTCGTTTTGCTTTGGGTTTTTTGAGTGATCAGTGAGTGAGGCTAAGTTATCCCTAATGTTTACATAGGGCACTACAAGGACTCTATGTCCTTTAATTTTGAGCTCAGACTAGGTGGCACAGTTCAGACGTGGCCTATAAGTCCTACAAGAGAATTTAGATCTGCGTTTTCTCCTGTAATTCTCTACATTCTAGATCTCATTGCAGATTCTAAAACTGAAGCCAAAGAGCTCAACAAGATCTTTAAAAAGACAGATTTTAATATAATGCAATTATCCACAAGATTAAATGAGATCAAAGTGTGTAAGGTGTATATCATCTCTTATCCTGTAATGTGACTGTCATTAAGTGCAGATAAATAAACCAGTTTCTCAGTTTCAACATCTTTTAGACCTTGAAAATGGGGAGCAAAGTCTGCTAGCAAGAAGCCTGAAAGCTTGGGCAATATTGACATCCATGAGAATCATCAAGAGATGCACCTGAAGTGAGCTTGACTCTCTATTCAGAAGTAAAATAGCCAGACCAGAGAAAATGTTGTTGGCAAAAATGAGCTGATGAGCCTGATAACGAGACAGTCATGTGAGCTTGACTGTTCAAAGCTTTACTCAAGAGTCCGGAAGGAAGTAAATGATCAGGAGATCCTTTAGTTATTTCTGGTGATATTTCAATACAAGAAAGATGCCTGTTGGGCATACTACTCAGTGACATTTTATTCAGGCCTGATTTTCTCTGTTCTGCTTGTGTTGTAATTCTCACAAGTTATGGTCTTAAGAAAATTTGACTCATTATACTACACTCACTGGCCATCTTGTTGGCTGCAGGCCAAGAACCTTTCTCAGCCTTTTATGTTGCTTGTATGAATTAGAGGTCCTAAAGTATGGGCCTAGTTTTTTCTACAGTTTCATGGTAGTAATGATGGGAAAATTATTTTCTAAAAGTATACACAATACATTTATTGAAAGTTCAGCATTCATCCGTGGATTGGTTGTGGGAATTTTGACTACTAATCCATGGATGTCTAATTCATTAGTCTTATTGGGAGGTCAAGGGAGACTTTTTCATGCAGGTTTTGTGCTGTCACTGTAGTGTAATAATCCCATGATTCAGGACTCATGATCATCACCTGAAGGGGCTTGGAGGGAATGGTTTGAATGTGTTAAGAGTTTGCAAAAGGCCAAACATGAAAACATCAAACCTTTATAAATGTAATACACAAAAAGGTCAGGATTGCTTGAAGAAGCACAACTAGCATAAAAGGAGAGCCATGTGAAAAAAACAAATGTAGATGTCAGACTTCTGTGTAAACACAGCTGCTGGCAGTTGTTCATTTTGATTTTTATTAAATAAGCTGAAGTCAGAAACTTGTATGTGCATTCCAAAATGTCAAGAATTATTCTTAATAGAAAATAAAAGTAATATTAAATAAAGATAAATTAATTTTCAGTCTTGATTAATAACAACTATGTGAGTCCTTTCTCTCTCCCCTAGCAGGTAGATCTGTAGAAGCCATGGAAGAATAACATCTAAAAGTATAGGACTTGCATATATGTTCTTTAGTGCAAGCCACTGTAAATGCAGTTAATTGTTAATGTTTGCAGTTTGCTCACTGCTCTGAAACAAAAGGTGGTACAGAACAACCCATCCATTCCCCCTTTCTTTGCTGGAGGAGAAGTGGTATCCTCCATGCCTATTTCCTCACTGAGTTTTCTCAGAACATGCAAGGGAGATGCTCTGTTTAAGAATGGCATGTATTGGTCCTGCTGGAGATCCAGGCACAGATAAGACAGAGTATAACTTGTTCCAGGCTGGTCGCTTTTCTGAAAGGATGGTCATGAAGAAATTTGCCATGTTGTGCTTTGCACAAAGTACAAAAGCATTGAGTAGGTTCCTCCTGGAGCTTCTTCCGCTTTTCTGCAAACCATGACACAGAGGTGCACTGCAGGACACGGCCTGCTCTCTGTTGAGAGAATGGCTGCAGAGCTAAATTACAACTGCCGGCACACATATGCTTTGCAGAGCGGGGTTCTATTCCCATTGATTTCTTTCAAATTGGACCTGAAAGCTCTCAAATCTGGTTTCTTTAAAATTGCGTTGCTCCAGCTTGTCATGTAATGTGTCTCATCACATTGAGTTGAATGAGCGCTGTCTGGCTCTGCACTGCTAGCATCAAAGCCTCTCCTTAAGTATGGAATATCAAAGTGCAGGATAATTACAGGTATTTGATTTCAAAATGATCCCTTCCTTATCCTACTAGTTAATGGAGATTCCTCACTCTCCCCTTTGTGACTGCAGGTTTTACAGAATGCTCCAAATGAAATTCTTGTAGTAGCATCTTCCACGCTATGCAATCTTCTTCTGGAATTCTCTCCAAGCAAGGAGGTCAGTATTTATCCAGAAACAAGAGGTAATAGTCAAAAGTTACATTATACAATGGTTCGATAAGCATAAAGGTATCTTAATTGGTAGCCACTGCTTGTGGAGCATTATATGGCTGTAATGTTAGGCAGACTGTACCACTGATAGCTTGTGAATAAAAAAAAAAAAGGCCAAAATATCTGTTTATAGTGCTGTGACAGTTAAATATGATTGAATAGTTAAATGTAGTCTCTAAAGAAAAGTAGATGTGAAATTTTGGAGTTTTTTACTTGTAAAACACTATTATCTAAAAAATTCATAAGCAAGAAGAAAAACTAATAATTGGCAATATGATCCATTGTCTTAGAGAATTACTGCTGTAATCTTGAAAATGCTGACATAGCTGAGTCTTGTAGTTATTATTGTTCTGGAATGAACAATACAGGATATCTGTTCTTGAGTTCTGCAATGTCTGTATTTCATACAGATCATACATACACATCAATACTTCATAACAATGCAGCAATTCCCCAAGTCTTAAATATTTCTTAATAGCTGAAAACATTCAGAAGATTGTGATATGTGTGGGCTCCTACAGGGCACTTTGGATTACCTTGGTTTGATTGATTGATCCTGGTAGTTTTACTCATGTCTGTGACACAGAAAATAAACTGAAATAACGACAGGCACAGTTCACTGGCCCATGGGCTTTCTTATTCATGCTGCAGGTCATAGTCAGTGTAGTGTTTCCACTACAAACTGGACTGAAATACTGAATTTTCTATCAGGACATGTGGTTCATGTAGAAAAACATCATTCCCAAAAGAAAATACTGCTTATGCAAAATGAAGGAATATTTAGAAATGTTAGATTTGAAAGCATCTAAAAGCCATCTGATCTTTATTTGATATATCCCCTTTTTTTTCCTACATAGTATTTTGAAAATTGTGTGTAAACTATCAGTCACTTAAGTAAATAAACAAAGCTGAAGTGGATCTGTATTTTTACCCTGCAAAAGAGCTGAGTCAAAACCAATTTTGGAATATCTCCCACCTGCCGTGGCTGTGGAGAAGTCCCTAGGAGTCAGGCAGCTACCAGGCCCATGGCAAAATCACTGGCAGCTTATTGCAGTACACAAGCGCCTGGCACCAGGTGAACTTTGGCACAAACTGCAGCTGCCTGGTTCTGTTATGGTCTTGTTGCTATTCAGTGAAATGAGCCTGTTCCTACAAAGTGCAGCCTTTCCCACACATTCCTGTTTTCTGATGAATTCAGCTCTTAAGCGGGTTAAAAACCACACAACTTCCCAAAAACTCAGATATGTTCAGTTATTCACTGCTTTTGAAGCAGTAACTTCTGAAAGAAAGGAACACCTTACAAACTAGAGCAACATAAGTCATTGGATGAATCCTTTTAGCACGTGAGCTCTTCAGGTCTTAGATAAAACTAGTACCTCAAATTCGGTTCGGGTTGAAAGCAGTTGTTCCAAACTTAACTTTCATTACATTAATCAGTTTGAAAGAAAAGGTGCACGTGTTGATATTTTTCCCATCATTTAAAGATGTGATACTCCAAGGTTTTGCGTTTCAATCTGATCATCAAGAACAGCCTCCAGTTTTCTTTTTTATGCTGAAGTTGTTCTGTTGGATTTTAGTTTGGTCTGATTACTAAACACAAGGATCAAACGTCAAGAAAGGTATCAAGTAGCTTTCACTGTCCTTAATCTGTTTTAAACAGTCACATATGTCCCACTTGATACCCAAAAAGATGTGATTGCTCAAGGAACACTGTTTTTGGAGAGCAGTCCCAAGCTGAAAGTTGTTGGGGGAAACGAATTTGCTTGTGTGAGTGTGGCAGATGTGTGTATAGTATCACAGCAGTACGTGTGTGTATATCTGTATATATACACACACGCATGTATGGCTGTGTATATACATGTGTATGCATACACGGATACACATGAGAATAAACCCGGCTTGACCTGAGTTTTTCCATAAAAACCTATCTTTTAATGCTCATGAATATAGGGTATGGCTTGGCCAGTTCATGTGAATGGACATGTTGTAAACTCAAGAATAAGATACAAGCAAGACTTTTTTTGTATTGTCTTTACATTTGTATATATGTCTAATTAGTCTAAGTAGTTTTTTAAAGATTTTTTTATTCCTCCCCCCTCTACATTTTAGCCTATTTTAGAATCGGGAGCCATAGAACTTCTATGTAGTTTAACACAGAGTGAAAATCTTGCCTTGCGAGTGAACGGCATTTGGGCTTTAATGGTAAGTAAAACACACTGATAAAATACTTCTTGTGATTTTGGTTCTTAAAAAGTTTGTGAATGTAACTTAAAGAACTCATCAGCTGTTATTAAAAATAATGTAGCTGAAATCTAGCTTGTCTTTCCACCTAACTACAGAAGGAAAACAGTGTCAGCCTGGAACACTTCATCAATTAGTCCATAAGATAAAATAAACTCTTCAGTTCTGATACCAGTTTGGTTGCCAAGATCATTCAGGGAAACAGTTAAGTAGTGTCAGTAGCATGCCAGAGGACAAATAGAAGCAGGTAATAACCAGGTCAGCTGTAAGACTGTGGAAATTTAATTCACTGTGTAGCAGTTCCTCATAAATTTTAACCTTTGCAAGATTAATTTTAGCAAGGATATATGCTTGTAGGTAATAATCTACTAAAACAGTGAAAGCCCAAGTTTAAGGTAAAAAAATCAAGCAAAAAATTTTTTTCTCTTTCAGAATATGGCATTTCAAGCAGAACAGAAGATCAAATCAGACATTTTACGAGGTCTGAGTACAGAGCAGTTATTCCAGTTGCTTTCTGATTCTGATGTAAATGTTCTCATGAAAACTTTGGGACTGCTCAGGAATCTTCTATCTACTCGCCCAGTAAGTAGAGCTGCAAACAGACCTTCTGAAAGCTGATCACACATGCAGACAATACAAATTCATTCTTAATCTTTTTTGTAAGACAAGTTATTTTTCTGTGTAAGATTAATGTTTGATATATTGCTAAAACTGAGGCCCTTGGGTTTATCCAAGCGTCTGTAACCAAATGTACAAATCAGTGTAAGAAAACATTTGAAAGAATTCTCTACATCCACTGAAACTTTGTAATTATTATCAAATACAGAGCTAGACAGTTACATTTAATGTTCAATTCCATTGCATTTAGCTTTCAGCAAAATTATTTTCCTAACAGTCTTTCTGTGACACTTGTCCCAGAGCAACAATAAGAGGGTTGCACTGTTGAGTCAATGTGTGGAGAGGTACATATCTTAAGGATACCTGTGTTTCTTCTTTCTTGACACCTGAAATATTTCTGTTCTTATCCAACTATATAGATAGTACTGGCTTTTTGAATTTGACTGTGGGACTGTGCACTTACAAAATGCATACGTTCATTTTACACACTGAAATAAAATGGTTTGAAAATGTAAGCCCATGAATTGTTTTTGACAGGGAGAAAGATATTGGTGGAGGAAAAGAAAGGGGTAATCCCCTGTGAAGAACAGAGGGAAAACATGCAGCAAACATTTGGCAAGCCAACATTTTTGTGGGGGAAAAAAACCACGAAGCCTCTACTGTGCATTTATCACGTATTGTGTTTCTACCATAAAAAGGTCACTGCAAAAAATCTTCTGATATTTGTACTCGTTGAGTCTCAATAAGCTTCATAGAAAATTAGCTCTGTCTTAATGTGAAAAGATATTTAATAACCAGTCATTCATTAAATTCACCCTGAGCTCTTGACAGCAGAGTCTCATTATCACTTAAGGTGTTCTTCATCTGAATCTACGTCCCAGCTTCACCTACTTTCTGTAGTATGTTTTAGAGCCAGAACCAACCATTCTCATTCTCTACCCAAAACTCACTCCAGAATACCTCATCCAGCAGCTTTTGAATGAAGTCTCGTTATTAGCAATTTTAAGAAGTCCTACAAGAATCCCTAATGTCTTAAAAAATTGTAGAGTGCCATGTGCTGGTAATCTCTGATGGCTGTTTGCTGTCACTCTTGTGTTTTGGTATCAGTTAATCCAGTAAATCTAGCTTCATCTTTTTCTGTTACTCCTAATGATCAATTTTATTCTAGTATGGGTGTTTATAGTCTGTGATCAAAGGACCTTTTACCTGTAAGTCTCAACTTGAGACACTTTTCCTAGATGATAAGTAATGTATATGTTTTAATTCTCTGAATCCTCTCAGACTTTTGAAATGTGGATATCAGACCTGGTCACAGTGTTCCAGTAAGAGCAGCAAATACCAGATAAGAAACCTCAGTTTTCTTACCCCTCTCTGATATCCCCGTTACCAGAAGAGAAGTGGTTCTTTCTAACTGCAACATCATACTTAGAGCTTGGGTCCAGCAGGATTCAGTCTTCAGACTGAATGGCCTCCATGCAACTGGGAAACCAGTGTCTTTTCTACAGGTTACAGTGAAATCAAAACCAAGGCCCATATCATGCTCACTCAAACAAGACCAGGCTTCAAATGAAGAGGAATATTATGAAGTGTTTCTGCTGTGAAAAGTTCTTGGTTTTGGGAGACCTCGCTAGGAGCTAGGGTCTTTGTACAGTGTTGCTACTCTTTACTTAGAGTAATTCAAGTAGGAATGTCCCTTCTTTGTCTGGAAAGTTACGCTGATTGTATTTCGTCATTGCTTTGGCAGCACATAGACCATATAATGAGCACTCATGGGAAGCAAATCATGCAAGCAGTGACCCTTATTCTGGAAGGGGAGCACAATATAGAAGTCAAAGAACAGGTACCCTTTTTTGTTTCATGTTGTCTTGGCAGAATAAAATTTAAGAAACAGCTAAGAATGCTTACTCTTCTCAACATGTCATTTTTGTTTGGGATTATGATGTGCTGTGAATATTTTACCGAGATCTGTCAGATTAATAATTTTAGTACCTACAAGAATGTCCTTCTTTCTAATGGATGTGTTTGAATTGAATGCAGAATGTTTTTTTAAATGTAGGTTTGGTAAAGAGGAGGGCACTGTATGTAAGAGCAGAAGAATTAAATCTAAAGCAATTGCATGGCAGAATGGGAACAGTAGGAACAAGGGAAGAGAAAGAAGCCAGTATTTCACTCTGGGGAAAGCATCTGTTTATTTTATATTTGCTCCTATAGCAGCCACTGGAGCAGTCAGTTGTGAAGAATACCATCATCGCTTGCCTTGCTGGCAGTAATACATGTTCTGCTGGGAGATGTGGTGACTCAGCTGTTCTTGGGTGCCTGCAGGAGCCAGCAGTGATTAGAGGAGGAGAGGCACTAGCAGGGAAAAGAGCATGCTGGTGTAGGCCAGGAAATAGTGGGGAGGGACATGGCCTGACAAATTAAAACTTAAGAAAAGCAATGTGTGAGAGGAAAGGGAGAAGGAAAGAGGAAATGGCCAGTAGGGAAAAGCATCCCTGGCTTGGTGACAGCATAAGGAGGCCAGTGTACAGGGATACCTGCTGCGGGGATGCTAAAGCAAAAGTAAGAGGATAGATGGGCAGAATTTGGCTGATTAACTCTGACAAACAAGACAGTCAGCTGGAGAACCCTGTGTCAGCCTCATACGGGGCATGTGGTGATGAAGAATGGGGGCAGCAAGAAGCTGTGGGAGATTCCACAGGATTGCTTTGGCTTAGGATGTATATTGGTAGCAAACAGCATGGCAAATGAGTGTAAAAATACAGATAAATCCAGACAGGTCTAAGTCTCTGCTCAGTGAAGAATGGGCTGAAGGCAGGCAGGCCTTTTATGGCTATTTAAGTGCAAAATTAGCAAAAAAAACCCCCAAAGACTCTTAATAGATAGCAAGTTTAGTGATACTATGGTTCTGAAACAGTTGAGGATTAACCGGGTGTGTCTTTCTAAATAGTTCTTCTTGATAAAGCTCTAATAACAGGAATGGCCTTCATTGCAATACGTTATTTACCTTGCCAAGCCTCTCAGAATTATTTTGGAGGAGAATCGGTGTACCTGAGAAATACTCTTGGATAGGGCCAGTAGGCTAGGGTTGAATATAGCCTTTAGGGTTTGGGGCCTTTGTACACAGAGCATTTTCTGTGTCCCTTGCTTTTATTTCAGAATCAAGTCATACATCCAGCACTGCCTAACTGCATGCAAGAGCCCATGCTTCTAGCAGGGCAGTGCTTGTCTCTGTCACTGACTGGCTCCTGTAGTCATCCTTGCATGTCCAGAAAAGATGGTTAAATCCTTCCACAGCTCTTTTGGAAATATGTAGAGCATCTCCTGGTGCCTCCTGAGAACCAGGAAAGCTGCCTGTGCAAGTCTTTGTGCCGTGTGCATGTAGTGCCAATGTGGGCCTAGATGGTTCAAGGTTATTCTGTAGGATGGATTCTCTAATTTGCAAAAAATAACCAGATGCGTTAGTAGTTTGAGTTATCTGCAGGTAAGATGTGTGATTAGACTTGTTGAAAACAAATTATTACTCTGCTAGATCAGCAGATAGGCCTCTGTCTTTCCTTTTCCTGGCCTGAAGAACTAGATGGAAATGTTTGGGGGTTTTGGGGCGGGTGTTGTTGGTTTGTTCGTTTGGTTTTTTTTCCCCTAGCCACTGATACAGAATAGACTGCTTTATTTTCCAGTGTATTTAATCTTTTCTATATGCTGCATATTTCCATGAGAGACTTAAAATTTTACTCATTGAAGTGAATTAATGAATGTTGCTTTTTATTTTAAAATGGCAATGACTCAGTTTTCTGCCAGGGCTGTTCAGCCACAGCTGTTAGCTCTTTGGCATTGACCCCAGATGTAAGCAAGCTGGAAACTCCAGATTAAAGATATTAAAACTAATTAAAGAAATTGTTTGTCACAAGTTCAAAGCTGTCAAGGAAACTATATAAATCATGGGATGTGATCTGTGGCCAAATAACAGTTTTTCTCTTTCAGACATTATGTATACTTGCCAATATAGCAGATGGAACAACAGCAAAAGAACTGATTATGACCAATGATGATATCCTGCAGAAAATCAAATACTACATGGTATGGGGAATTTCTCTTAAAGGTTTTATCTTGGTCTTTTGCAGGAATGAAAAGAGGGTACTTTAGCATTTTGTTGTGTAAATTGTTCAGTATCATACACTTAACTTTCATATACCTAGTTGTGTTTAAGAAATCATGTAGTGCAGTTCTATATGGCAGAGGTGTACTGAGGGTCTGATTAAAAGGAAAATCCAGTGGTTATTTCCTGTAAGAATGTTACAGTGACTTAAGCAATACCTGTAACAAGGTATCTGCATGGAAAACATTTCATGATCTTGGAAAAGGCATATCTTGTAGACCTCAATAAATATTTGAAAGGAAGTGATTGAACACTACTCAAGTGCTTTATGTTATGGCACTATCTTTGAGAAAAGTTGTAGATAAGAATTAGTCCCAACTTTGCTACCTTATTTATTACAGGGTGAATGCGAAAATATAAGTCTGAGAATTTCTGAATTTCTTCTTCTAAACTTGAGTACTATTTTTCTATGTTTAGAGTCATTCAAATGCTAAACTTCAGCTTGCTGCCATGTTCTGTATATCTAATCTTATATGGAATGAAGAAGAAGGTAAGAAAACCTCATTATTAATGCATATACAAGTTACTATCCTGATCAAAAGGCTAATGTTGCATAGTAATGAATACTTGCAGTGCACAGTACAGTGGAATCTAAAACACAAAGGGAGACATCATTACAGGTATAATATGGAATCAGTGAGAGTGATCAAGAGGACATTGAGGAAAGTGTAGAGAGCTGTTCTGGGGCAGGAAGGGGAGACACAAGAAGAGAGTGTCAATAAATAGGAGTTGACTGGAGTCACACAGTGGGAGGTTTCCACCTGTAGCAGTTCTGTAAAATCAGAAAACGACTGGAGTGAAAGAGAATCCTAGTAAGAGATCTTCCAAGTCTTAAGGAGGTTGTGGAAACTCATTGTTGGAGGGAACAGGTTCACTGTAGAGGATAAATGGATTAGAAAGAGGATTTGTTGCAAAGAAATTTTCCCCAGCATAGATGGCTGGAATGGATTGGGCAGTGAGACTCTGAAACCAGTCAAAGGACTTGTGGGTGGAACTGGAAGGAATGGGGAACGTGTTTGGTAAGAAGAATCATGGCCTGGAACAACAAAAGGTAACCAGGAGGGAGCTGAAGGATGCTGCTGCACAGAAAAATATGTGTGTTTGTGTTGAGGGGTAGAGAGGGCAGATGGAGGCAGCGGTGCGGAGCTGGAAGACATGGCATGGGAAGGAGTGGTAGGAGGTGGTGTGCTTTGAGGAATGGTGGGGCTGGGAGGAGGACTTTCTTAGATGGATGATTTACAGGCCCTCAAGTTGACCATGCTGATCTTCAGCAAAGAAATCAGTGTCTCTGCTTGGTTTGGGGTTTTTTTTTCCCTACTGTGTAACTTATTCCACATCTCAGATCACAGAACTTCATTCAGTGTGTGACACTTGGCTATGCTCCTGGTGGCTTTCTGCTCATTATACTGGCATTATACAGTGCTACAAGTCAGGCTCAGAAACACACCTCCAGCTAAATGTTCTCTACATCCAAATCAGAGAGATGAGAAGAAACTAACTGAAGTCAAGCTTGTCACTTTAGGATAAAATATGTTCAGATTTTTGCCTTCAAAATTTTCTTTTCTTTAAACATATGCATACAGAGTACAAAAAAAGAAACTAGAGCTCCCTTGAGAGGTAGCCACAACTGAGGGAGTTTTTCCATTGCTGTGTTCTAACTGAGCTCTGTTCCATACCCCTCCTTTAAGCTGGTTTCTGCTACCACTCCTTTCTTCTGTTCTGCAGACATTTATTTTTGGTGGTATTCCCAACAATGTGATTTATTGTTGTAGGTTCACAAGAACGCCAAGATAAACTACGAGACATGGGAATAGTAGATATTCTACATAAATTGAGTCAGTCATCGGATCCAAATCTGTGTGACAAGTGAGTATAAAGAAAAATCCAAAGAGAAGATTAGAGGGAAATCTTTGCTTTTTGTGAAAAAACTATCTTTTTTGGAAATCTTTTGATTATAGAAAAATTCCCCAGAAAAACTGTCTATCATTGCACTGAGTTTTATGGTGTATAAAGAAATAATGAGGAACAGTTATTTAGAGAGCAGGTTTTGTATTGCTCAGGAGTAACAAATTTTAGTGAAGTTCTAAGTAGTATAAAATAACTACGCTTAAGGTCATCTAAACTGGTGGAGGGTCCTCTCTGAAATCTCTCTGATACAAAAGTATTGTTGTAAACCTTGGACTACTAACAAAGTTCCAGAGGATTGGAACAGTGCTAAACTATCACATAACTCTATGAATTAAAAAGATAATACAGGATCACCACTGTTGTTAATCTTAGTTAAATTCTTTTAAACTAATTAAGCTTAACAGTAACTTTTCACATACCTGTTCTGTTACTGATATTATAGTATCTGCAGAGATCATCTAGCTTCTTCACAAGCACATATAACCAAAATAGCTAATGACAGTTTCTTGATTTTTATGTTAACTTTTGCGATTATCCCACCTACAGTTTATAACAACCTGTATTTCTTTCATGAACTAAAGGAGATGGTCTGATTTTTGGAAGAGGTCATACACAGACAACACAACTCAAAACTGCAGTGTTTTAAAATGCATTAAATTGGGGTTTCTTCTTTTTATGAAAGAGATTCCAGTGTTCTTAGACATCTTTGTAGTAAAGTTAGGACATCTCGGTTTAAAATCTGTGCCAAAATATCAGTATTGAAGGTGATAATCAGGAACGTATATATATCAATGAGTAGGCTCACAGAAAATTGCAGAAAAGCTAAATAGGGTTTTCAAACAGGGAGAAATAGGAATAAAACTTAAACCATAAAAATACTTTCTGATAAATGGGCCTTGCTTGTCAACACTTAAGCCTTGGTTTTAAGAGACAGGGAGCTGATTGTGCTTAGTGCTGTTGCAAGTCACTGTCTCTCCTGTTTCTTCTGGCCACCGGCTCCCACTGTTTACCCTATCCCAGCTCTGCCTCATCAGCCCCCTCGATGAGCTGATATGACTTGTGAATGCAGGAGGAAACTTGGAAGGAAAAAATAAATATTCTTCTTCTGGGTTGCTGAGTTGTATCGGAACTTGGAAAAGTCTGTCAAGGTCATGATGGCATGGTTGGGAGGTGTGTGGGACAAAGGAAGAGCAAAGCTTCTCGCTTCAGGTGGTAGGAGACATTGAATTAGCTGAAGGGATGATGAAACTGCAACCCTAGACTTTTGGGAGGTGTTTTTTTTTTCTTAACAAAAATGTTGCACAATGTTAGATTACATAAATTCCAGTATTACACTGGCTGTTGCTTCTTTTCTCTCTCTCACCTCATTGTAGGTTTTTGGTAGGGCTGGTATTCCTGACAGGACTAACATGCTTCTAGTATGTTCTGAGTTATGACACCTCTTTCATTTCTCAGCTCAAAGACCTGCTTTTCATGGTACATCTGTATTACAGAAAAGTAATTGCTCTTCACAATTACTGCCCTTAAGTGTTTTTTTATAAGGTGCATTGTTAATGAGGTTCAATATACATCCCAAGCCCCACCATACTTGAAAGTTGCTCAGTTTATGCTGAACATCTAATGTACTTGGTTAGATCATATTATTCTTAGATGCAAGGTAGGTTCTTAAATTGTTATAACTGATGCAGAACACTTCTGCACCACAGGCTAGATTCTTCCAAACTGAAGGAGCCAGCCATTTGGCTTCTTTTAACCTCATTCATCCTCCCTCTTTTGCTGGCACAATGCATAGTCTTGTACATAAAGCTGTTGATGATAAAGCCAAGCCCCAATAATTAACAGGTTGTTCCTTTATTGCAGGGCGAAGACAGCACTCCAGCAGTATCTTGCATGATCAAAGACTAATTGAATCTATGGACACCCCTCACGTCTACTTAAGGAATAGCAGGAGATATTCCTGACTCCTTATATTTGCACAAGTCACCTTGGGCTGCATTTTTCTCAGGTGCAGGGAGCTGCTTTGCAGAAACAGTTTAAATGATCAGGTCTCCAGTGCACTTGAGAATTTTCTTGAGGTAGTTCCTTTACTCAGAGGACTCTTGGGGGTTGTTTTGTTTTTTGGGTTTTTTTTTTCCTGAGCTACCTGGACTTTCGGATAGAACAATCAGTCATCGTTTTCCTTTTGGGCCTACAATTTTCTGCTTTTGCTGCAGCCTGCGTGTGTGGATGTGTGTGGGTGTGCTAGAGTGTGTGTGTGCGCTTGGGGGAATGTGTGTGGGTGTGATACCTCAATTTTGTTTTTCTTTTTTTTGTGTGAAAATCTTTTTCTACAGGTTTTCAAGGGTTAACCATTGTTTGCTGTACGAATACTTCAATGAATTATATACAGTTTGAATGAAATGTTATTTAAAAAAAAAAAACCAAACTGTTGTATCCCATAAAGTTTATTTTGAATTTTGAACAGATGAATGTTTTTAAGTAAAATATATGCATTTCTGAACTTCAGCTTAACTTAACATTATACTTCCTTTTTAAAGAGAAAAATAGAGGGAGACAGTAGACCCCAAATTATAAGCAGCGGATTCTGTACTGGTAAGGTCCAAGAGTTTTTTTTACCGCCATATAAGGTCACCTGGTACTGATGACATGCTCAAATCTGTGGAATGGGTCAACTGGATTGTTTTGGGTTTCTTTATGTTTTTAGAAGAAAAGCTCATAGCTTCAGAGTTAGTGTGACTGTTGACTTTTTTTCTGGAAAGGAACAGGTGGCTGCAATATCAGCAGGCATAAGCTATTGCTTTAGTAGCCAAGAACTTGCTCAGATAATTGCTGAAGGATTAGCTTATTTCACTGGTGATAAATATTCGCTGATCACTAATATCAATAGAGCAAACAGTATGTTGCAGAAGTTATACTTTCAAGAGACCAGAAGGAGCTGGCAAGCAGTGATTAAGGGATTGCTTTTGTTTTGCATTCCTTACCTCCAGATACAGTGAAAGTGACTGACATATTATATCCATGAAAGATCAGCTGGGTGCATTAAGTTGGGAAAGGGGTGGAAAAATTGGGTTGGGTTTTTTGGGTTTTTTTTTTTTTTTTTTTTTTAGCTCAGTGATGTTGCTACGGATTTTGTGTATATATGCAGATATACACACTTGCATGGATTTGGATACCTGGATAATAAGCAATGGGATTTTACTGTGTTCAGAAGCCTAGATTGTCCATAAGTTCCTGAAATTGTGCCTGTAAGTGTGGAGAAAAAAATATGAGTACAAATGAAGACAGCTGCGTAAGGTTAGGCTGGAATAGGAGACCCCGGTGGCTTCACATTCAAATATGCATAGAAACAAATGAGGGCAGCAAGGAGCTCTCCTTCGTGCAGTTCAGGGTTCTTGCTTTCTTCCCGTCTACTTTCTGATTTCAGTTTAGACCATAGTTTTAATAGTCAGAATCTCCAAACACTATATTTACAAAGCACTAACAGGCATGCTAAAGATTGCAGCCGGTGTCTTAAACCAAATCTTTCTTTTGTTACGTTCAACTTCAGGAGGGCTGCAGCAAGAAGAGAGGTCTGTAACTTTGCTAACCAATTTTGATAAGTATCTTAATCTTTTATTTCTAATCAGAAGGTCAAATTGTGATAGCCTTACTTTTTTCCAAAGTAACTACTTGTGTCAGAAAATGTGACCACAGTTTGGCCTGGAATTTGAATGTGCTGTGTATCAGATAACTGTTATCACTTGGTTGCAAAGGAGAATATATACATTTCATGTAACTTCTTCCACTCTTGAAAGACAAATAAAAGTGAGCACCTGACACTTTTTCCCCAGGCATTGCAGTAAGTGACTGGCAGTTTTTTAATGTCCTTCTGCAAATTTTTGATGATGGACTTTGGGGGCTGAATAAAAGGGAAAGTAAAAATATGTGAGAACTTGATAAATATCAGTACCTCGGAAGTGAAGTCTTCTTTATAAAATTCAATCAAATATATTTTTGCTTGAACTGAGAAAAAAGTTCTGAGGCAAGTAGTGTAAACGCAAAACTGTACCGCATGCATCAGACTTGTAAATTTGCACTCCTGCTGTGTACGTTTAGGAGCTCAAGTTCTTACATATCTCTTCTCATCCTCCCCCAATTCACGTTTCTAAAAGCAAATCTGAGTTTGATTCTATAAAACTTCGGTGCCTAAAGGTGTTCAGAAAAAAGGTGAGTAAGTATCTGTGAACAAGTTTTGAGGTGGTTTCCTAAAATTCTACCAGAAAACCTAAAAAACAATGCTCAGACAATCTTGTTGCTGCATGAGAACAGTTGACATTTTTCGCAGATATTGATAGGACAAACTGTTGGATGAGAACATTTTTACATTCAGTTAAGCTTTGTGAATAATTTTTGATGTTGCTATAGGTATGTACAAAAAGAAGAATACTGTAAATAAAAATAATTTTACCAGAACATCTAGATTTTTCTCAGCTTCATGGAGAAATCTCAGCTTTCTGTGCCAGCCTCTCTACAGACTGACAATTGCTAGCCTGAGATTCACAGTGGGAACAAACTTGTTTGCTGGTTGGCCAGATCTTTACCAACTTTATTTAGGTAGCAGCCTCTTGTGAATTACAGGGTTGTTTGCAGAACCAAAGAAGTATAGTTTGTCTGGACATAATACAAATCACCAGGATTTCTGCTGTTCCTTGTGCCATTTCTCTTCTGAAAACCAGTCCTAATGAATTTTGATAAGTATGTCCACTCTTTATATCTGGGTCCAGTGATGGTAGTCCTTCTCTCCAAGGTTACCTGTGTCAAAAGGTGAATAGTTCTGTATGGAGTTTGGCATGCTAGTTGTCAGACAAGTGCTACAGTTGGTTGCTCCCCACCACCTCCAGTCCACATTTGGAGTAGTCTCTCCCACACAGAAAGTCAGTTGAGACTTATAATTTGGCTGTTGTTCCAACCACAGATTTGCATTGTAATAGTGAAAGAAGCTAAGTGACCTGCTCAAAGGTATCTTTTGCCAGTATATTCTTAAAGCAAACATCTCATATTTTTAAAAATTTATTTTTACAGCCATTGCAGTAGATGCTGCACCTCTATGAAGCTGCTGAAGCAGCGGCACAGCAGGAAGAAGAATAATTCAAGTGCATGAGATTAGATTGTTGAAGACTAGAAAATGGGTTTAACAGGACTCTCTTTGGGAATCCTAAAATGTAAGCGCATGATAGGTGTAAACGTGCAAAATTTCAGTGGGGGTTAAAATCACCAGGACTTTACTGGAAGCTTATTTCTACAAAAAGAGACAGTTGCTGGAGGCATCCAGGGATGCACTTTGCTCTGCTGAGCTGGTGCTGGAGGCAGGGGAGCCCCTGCCATGGCTCAGCCCCACCGTGTGCCCTGGAGGTACTGGACAGTGTCCCCTCAGGTTGCCAGGGGCACTAGGGGAGTTGACGTGCCAAAAGCCAAATCCTCAACCAGGAGGGACCTTGACCAGCTGGAGGACCAGGCCACTAGACATCAAGTGCTGTGTGACAAGCAGCAGCACCACCGAGGTCTGCCTCTGGAGCCCAGTGATGCCAGGCGTGGGAATGGACAGGATGAGCAGCAGCCCTGCCCAAATGGGCATCACCCTGGGGCGGTGCTGGGCACAGGTGCTGTGCGCTCACTGCAAATAAGAAAAAACAACCCCAACCAACTTCAACAATTGAGCTGCATTTGGAGGGGGGCCAGCAGCTTATCCCCTGTGCTCAGTGCTAGGGAGGTCACATCTGGATTCCGTGCCTTGTTTTGTGCCCTCAGTTTGGGAGGGACGGGGCAAAACTGGAGCCAAGGAGTGTGCAGTAGGCTGGGGGCACGGGGCCTGCTGGGGGGAGTTGTGCAGGTTTGGCAGGCAAAGAGGAGGTGGAGGGGCTACAGCTGCTGCTGCTTGAATAGGAGTAACAGAGGAGATGGAGCTGAACCTCCCAGCTGCAGCGGATGCTGAGAAAGGAGCAGGGCGGGCTGGGCTGCTGCTCTGCCCGGATGTTACCAGGGCTGCCATAGCAGCGCTGGGGTGCTGCCAGCCACCGCGCAGGTACTGCTGGGCCCTGGCTGGGACTGGTTTGCTTCTGCCACTCTCACGGGGTGAGGAGGGGACAGGCTGCTGTGTCTCTCAAAGTGAGCAGCAATTCAGGCCCCACAGCAGCACCTCACCTCTATGAAAAGGGTGCAAGCAGAGCCGTGTCCGGGCTTTGGGTGCTGCTGAGGTAATCCTGCTCCCTCCAACAGGGCAGGAATGCTGCTGGAGGCTCTGCGTCCTGGGTGAAGGAGCAAAGATGGGTTAAAAGCTTTCTCTGTGGTGCAGGTTAGCCAGCAGTTGGATTCACATAATTGGAGGGCATCTGCAGTGCTTTGCACTTGGGACTGCTGCTCTAAGGACCTTTGTTCCTGCAGAAGGATGGCTGCAAAGAAAAAGGAGGTAGTACTGCAGGTCAGTAGGAGCCAGGCTTTTAAAATATCTTTTTAAACTTGTAGTAAGTGCAAAGGATGAAGTTCAGTCTTGGGGTATCCCAGATTCTGCTGGCAAAACTGTATTGTGAGGTCCTTGTGGTGGAAAAACATTCCTGAAGGCAGGTAGGAAGCATGGGAAAACATGGCAAGTCAAATCTGTCCCCCAAAGTCAGTGCTGTGGGGTGCAGAGGGAGGTTGCTATGGGGCTGCAGGTTTTGTTTCAGAGCTGCTACAAGCTGTCATGGGTTTGGCCGCTTTCATAAATCAAAATGCGTCTGTGTTTCATGGGACAATTAGAAATAGGGAACTGGGAAACAGGGGGTTTCTCCTGAATGGCAAGCGTCACTGAACATTTCTGACCAGTTCACATATTTAGAAAGATAGCTGTGAAGGTGGAAAAGTTAGGAGGTACAAGAAAAGTTCAAGGGCTGAAAAACCTATTTCACAATGATATGTAGAGGAATATTTCTGTCTTTACACTGCGCAACTGACGTAATAATGCTTTATAACTACCTGCATAGGGGAGAGAGGGTTTCCGAGAGCAGTTTAGTATGCAAAAACATTGAAAAAACCCGAAATAGGTTATGAAGGTCTCCTTCAAATTTTGAAACACAAGAGAGAAATACTGAAGGAGATTATGGGGTCTATAACCTTGTTTATTCACTGTTAAAACTGGAAAGCATGGAGTGAAAATGTGAACATTTGTGTAAGAGAAAGAAGATCACTTTATTAAGGTAAAAATCATTTCTACTGCTGTTTGTCCAACTGTGTTCCTGTGCGGTGAGGAAAATTACATCAACCAGGCTTTGTGCCTTTGGCAACGAAGGGAAAGCTGGGTCTAGATCTGCAAAAAATGTGATTGTTCACATCTGCAGATGAAAGCTGAACCTCATGTAGGACATGATGTGATGGCCTAGAAAAGTTCTGGTTATATTAGAGAAAAGCCAAGTCCTAGCAGCCTCAGGGCATCCAAATCAGCAAAGCACTTTGAAGGGTGCTGGCATTACTTTCTGAGTCCATCAGCTGAATTCACAGCTGAACTCATTATCACAAATTATTATCATAAATCATTTGAACTCATTAACATTCTGTGAAATGCTCCAGGAGTGATCCTAGCACTAGTGATAACTGGAATAACTAAATTTCTTAATTCTGCAGGTGTTCTCTGAAAAAATTAGGCTTGGGGTCGTGTGCTGAACAGACAGATGTGTTTGAACAACTCTCCATTCTCTGAGTGAGGTGGGGTCCTGGAGAAACTGTACTGTATGACCTCCAGTGACATCTCTGAAAATTTGTAAGAGGCCATTTAATTTGCACTGGAGTTTCCACTGTTGGAATTGTTGACTTTGCAATTCTAGCAGTCCTTTAATGCACTTTAGTCTTAATTATTGTAAAATAGCTGGCCTTATTACAACTTACTGTCTTGCAGTGTAGACTAAATATAGTTAGAATTAATGATACCGGTTGAGAAGGTTATTAGGAATCATCATCGTTCAGGGTGAACAAAACCAGATCTTAACATTTCTCAAGAAGCCTTTTTTCTTTTCTTTTTTTTTTTTTTTTTAACTTATACTGTGTTTTTTGAAGTACATACTGAGGGGCAAGTTCTGTAAGATGGGGAAGATGCTAAAGATATTTTCCTTTCTAATTACAGTAATGGAGGTGTGGTATAATATAGTACGTGGCACAATGTATGGAATTGTTTAGGGCATCCTTGACTGGGTAAGCTCCTGAGCAACCTGATCTAACACTGAGCTTTGAGCAGGGGATTAGACTAAGAACTCTGCAGATCCCTTTCAACCTAGATCTTTCTATGCTGTCTGTTGTTCACTGTTTTGGAAGTCTTTAGATGGCAGCCACTAATTCAGGTAAGGACATGCCTGGCTCAGACCACCCTCTAGTGCCCAGACATTATGAAAGCTGTGTATTTACTAGCTTATTTTATCAAGACTGAAACATCTTAACAAAGTAGTATAGCTTGTGTGCAGGCAAGGTGAGAAACTGCTGGTGGAGAATCATCTGACTTAGAAAATGTGATGAGGGCTGGGTCTGAAACAGGGGTGAGGAAAGGAGGATGCATGCTGGAGACGAGCATGTTGAAGCAGCACTCTGAATGCTGCAGGTCAGCCCAGACCACCACCTCACTGCTGCTTTTGAGCACTATGCTGGCTCTGAGGGGAGGTCCCTGCTGAGCTGGGACCTAGTGGTTGTCAACGTGTGTGTGGCTCTCCTCCAAGTCCCTGCTTCTTGTGCGGTCATCTGGGCAGCCTGCAGAGAACCAGTCCAGTCAGTTATCTGTCAGTAGCTCTTAACTGTTTTAGCTGCTATCCTGTGTTAAAACATCACATGTCAGACTTCCATTTAAGTGAAAACGAAGTAAGTCTTTGTTTCTTCTATAGCAGGAGTGCTGCAGTAGGGAGCTTGGGGTCCCTCATCCCTGCTGCCTGCTGCTCTTCCTAGTACCTGCACACCTGCAGGGCTGTATGCTATGGCAAAGCACAGGAGAAACATCTGGAGCTCTTCCCTGCTCTCAGATCTTGCTGCATGGAGTTGAGTGCCAGGAAAAAACTGAGGCTGTATGGGTATTTCACAGACCTTCCCTCTTACGCCATATATGACACAGCCTGGTAGGTTCAGGCAGGGCTCTGGTCAGTCAGCCAGAGGCCCTGATAAGATGCAGGGAACTGTGTCCCCAGTCTCCCCCCAAACAACTAACTCTTAGTCTCTCTACAAACTGAGTCTGGGGTCCCCAAGCAGCCAGACTGTTAAAGTAGTTGCTGCCACTAAACAGGGGAGGGCTTGCTCTTGGCTGGATGCTGCTACCCTTTCCATCTGCCTTTCCTTGGTTCTTGTCATACAACGAGTCTCTAATCCAGTAAGCTTTTCTACAGAGTTAGCTGGCTTCCTGATGGGTGTCTAAGAGCTGGTGTCAGGTAGTAGCAAGAGTATGTGGGAAGCGGGGAAGGAATGAGAGTTTGGGAGTGAGGATATCCAACTTCAGCTGTTTTTTCTCAGAGGTCTTCCATTCATGTTCTAGCACAGCTTGGCCTTGCCCAGCTGGTCAGAGGTGAGAGGATCACAGTCAAAAGGGTTTCCCGAGTGCTCAGGTAATACCTCTTCAGGCAGATGTGTCCATCTTAAGTGCAAGCATGAAGTGATTTGTCAGCACGTTTGCAGCAGTCAGGTAGTACCTGATGACTTACTCTTGCTTTTACTGTGTTTTTAAATTTTCACACAGGTTAACATCAATAGCCAGGAGCTTTGGGAAGAAATGCTGTGTCTCAAAGGACTCATTGGTAAGGGTTTGGTCAGTGTACTAGATTGCTTTTGTTCTGTGTTAAAAGGACACCAGTACTTTTAGGAATCAGTTACTACCGATAGAGATGTTCCGCCAGCCCCTCCATTCCTCTTGCCCTGAATGGAAGAAATACATACGCAAACAGAAGTGAGACTAGCTAGAAGTTGTAGTCTTTTTTCATTTGTGTGGGACAATTATCATGCAATCAAAGCAATGCTAGTGCAGGAGCTTCTGGAGTCTCCAGTCCAGCCACCCGCTTGGAGCAGGACTGTCCCCAGTCCCCAATGCGAGAAACAGCCCTGGTTCTCAAGGAGGGGGGAGGTTAAAGGGCTGTTAGGTAAGCCTCATGTGCTCTACCTCTGTGCAGCAGTTTTCCCTAGAAAATCTGGTACCTCCAAGGTCATAGCCATGTCAATGTTTCTTCTAAAGACGAGTCCTTATCATTGTTATTGGCTTGTTATTTTATAATGTGATTTCATCCTCTGATCTAGCATTTGAAACCTTGAAAGAGTATGATATTTTCTACTTCAAAATTGAATCCATAGCCCTTCTAGCACTCAGCAGGAGTCCTGCCATACTCCAGACAGAACTATGGGAGCAACAGCCACAAGTTGCAGCTTGGGAAATTCATGTTGGACAGGAGGAAAATCTCCTTCCCCAGGAGGGCAATGCTGCAGAGGTCACCAGAGGAGACAACCTCAATCCTCAGAGGTTTTCAAGATTCTTCTTATTGCACTAGCACCCTTTTGCAGTCTCCTTCCAAATGATTATGCTGCAAAGTGGAAAAGTACACAAACCAACCTATTGGTCTATGTCTAAACTGACCCATTTTGACCTCATTCTTACTAATTTTCCTGCTTGCAGTTGTTGATGCGTTTCAAGCCTGGTGTGGTCCATGCAAAACAGTAGTGGATCTTTTCCGAAAAGTAAGGAATGAAGTTGGCAGTGATCTCCTGCATTTTGCTGTGGTAAGATCTAATTTGGCACTGCTTAAAATATCTAGTCCCCTGAAATTAGCAAGTAACTAAAGGCTGAAGTCATTTATCTTTCCAATATTCAGTCCAAATGGTAACAGTCCAGGAGTTCCAGATTGTGTGAGTGAGTCTGCCAAATCCAGACTCTTGGTTACAGCAATAAGAACTCACATAGTTAAGAATTTTCAGGCTTTAACTGTGTTCTGTACTTTTCAGATTTCTGGGTTTGTTCACCAATTTCTCATTTTGCCATTTCTCAGTGGTACACAGTAAAAGAATAACAGACAATGGGATCAAGTTGCAGCAGGGAAAAATCCAAGTAGATAGAAGGAGAAGGTATTCAGTATAGGAGTGGTTGGACACTGGGACAAGTTCCCAGAGAGGCTGTGGAGCACCGATTCTTGCAGATGCTCAAAACTAATGCAGCTTTGAGCAACCTCCTATAACACTGAGACTAGCCCTGCTTTGGGCAGGGTCTTGGACTAGAGCCCTTCAGAAGTTCCTCCCTACCTCAATCATGCTGTGATTCTGTGTTTAAATGCCTTTCCTGGCTGAAGGCCAGCACTTGATTGCTGACAGCCGTGGGCAGTGGGGTTTCTCATGGATGCTGACACAGCCATGGGCAGTGAGGTTTCCCGTGGAGGCTCCTGCTCAGCACTCCTTGCAGCCTCCTGCTGCCTCTGCTGCTGCCACCACAGGTCCTCCTGTCACTTCTTGCACTCCTTACAGACAGGGGGCCCCCATTTAAGTTTTACAGGCTTTTTCTCTGGGATTCACTTAGGCAAGCTGCAGTGAGATAGATATCCCTGCCTCACAAGAGCTGCTGTTCCAACCCCTGCAGGTGAGACCTGCCAGGCATCTGCCTGCTTCTTAGGTTGCTGGTACTGAGCTGGAAGTCGATTGTGGCCCTGGCCCTGACTAGTGTCATTTTGGCCTGTAAGACTGGGACTCAGAGGTGTTTTGCTGTACGTGGGGGATGAGCACCAGCCAGCTGAGGATGTCTTGAGTCCAGGCAGTTCCATGTGTATTCCTCTGAAGCAGAAATGGTTTTCTAGAAACACCTGTTTTCTTTTACATTCCTTTTAGGCTGAAGTTGATTCCATTGATGCTCTGAAAAAATACAGAGGAAAATGCAAGCCTGTCTTTCTGTTCTATGCAGTGAGTGAAAATATTGTTACAGTAGTCGCATAGCAGTAAATATCACTTCCCAGTGGGAATAACTGTTCTTTTTGAGAGAGATGCTTTTTCTTTCATGTGCAACAGTACAATTTTATTTGCTCTATATCTGCCAGTATCTACTGGTGATCAAGTGCTGCACGGATAAGAATGTACAGACAGAGTTTAAATTTAAAGATCTTCTGCTTTGCCACCAAGAAACAGAACAATGTAATTTTGTTTTATTAATTAAAAAAACAATTGAGAGATTAAGGTGTGCATGAAGTAAAACAGTTTAAATTGCACAGGTGAGTGAAAGGCAGATATTGCACAAAGTTGCAGGAACTCCTCTAGGTAGAGATTGTTGAGGTTTGTTTTGTTTTGTTTTTTCCTGGGGGGAGGCCCGTGTAGCCTGTGATGGATGGCTGTATTTCATGTCCCTTTCCCCCTCCATGGGAGGGTATCTTAGTAATGAAAATCCCTATCATTCACGTCCAGGGATCCCTGTGACTTCCTGAAAGTTGTATGTGTCCACAGGGTCTTGTGGCTGGCTGAGTCCATGTGAGTAGTATTCACGCCATGTTAGCACATGAACAAGTGTTTTGCCCTGTGGGGCCTTCATGTTCAGCCTCCTGCTACTGCAGGACCTCACTCCTTTCACAAGCTGCTTTGGTTCATCCTAAGACTTATCAGGAACGATAAAGAATGTTGTTCCAAAGCTTCCCGCTTGTTCTGGAGCAGAGCAGCTCTGTTGGGGAGGAGGGCCTGGTACATAATACCATACTTGGTGTGCTGCTCTGGTGATTTCCAGAGCCCAGAGGGCACTACTTGAGCACTTCCTAACTGATTTACTTTTCATGCATTTTAGGGAGGAGAATTAGTAGCTATTGTAAGAGGAGTGAATGCACCATTGCTGCAGAAGACCATCCTGGAACAGCTGGCAGTGGAAAGGAAGGCTTTAGAACATGGAGGAAAGTGTGTGGTGGTAATCAGTCACTAATTCCTTAAATACCTGTAGATGTGCATGCCAGAGGAAAGGTTCAGCTCCCCAGTGCCAGCATAGCTCTAAAGCAGAGTTACCTCTTCGCAAAAATCCTGTCCTTTTGTCTGGACTGTCTCTGAAATCTGGTTAGTGTGCTGCTTGAGTGTCCACAAGCCTGTGAAGCCTATCTAGATGGAGGAAGCTGGAAAGTGTGATTGTGTTTTTCAAAACCTCTGTCCTCTTGATGAGCAGAGTAGTACATACCATCCAGCTCTGCAGGATGAAAGAGAAACTCTACTGTGACTTCTCTTCACCTTTTCACCTACCCTAAGCATTTATTTTATTCCTTAAAGCTACCTTCCTAATCAGCTTCAAATTCCAGGATCTCTAGGAGGTCTGTGAGATGGCATTTCTTAGGCTGTGGTGGGGGACGGTTCATTGCAATCTTAGTCATTTTTGTTTCTTGATGTGACTGCTTCTGTGCATTTCTGCCTGGAGTCTGTTCTGGAGCTCTGCTCATCTTTCTCACTGAACTACAGCTGTAGGGACTTGGTGCCTGTGTTCTGGATATCACTGTGTGATCAATTAATCTACCTTTCAGCAGCTCTATAGTACAGTGGTTGTGCAGTCTGTAGTGCCTGCTATAAAGCCCTGGGCTATTGCATGGCAAATGTTTTCCTCCTTCCAGCAGTGAGCTCTGGTGTCAGAGCCTAGAGCCAGCCCAGCAAACTCCAGCAGCCTGCTGCTGCCAGGGTGCTGTTCGGAAAAGCATTACCAAAAAACTGCTGCCCTTTGTTTGTTCTGAACTCGCTATGCGATAGCATGACTTAATTCCTCTCTAGTTCTCATATGCTGAAGTGACTCTTATTCCCTAGTCACCTTCTCCATGTCACCGATGACTTCTGTAGACTGCTATTAAATCTTTCGTCAGCCTGGAGGCCTTAAGTGTCACAACTCTGGTTTTGTTCCAGATTCCTAGCCTGGGCACTGCTGGTACAGGGTGTATCCTTAGAGCAGCTGGGCAGTCCTCAGAGCTGAAACCAGAGACGGCCCCAGGCCTACCTCTCCTCAGCCCAGCTGGTCTGCTGAGCCACTGCTGTAGGGATGTCTTTTTGTGTGTGGTCTCCTGAATCAACACAGGTCTACCTGTGTTGGTAACTGCAAGCTGTCTCCACTGAGTAGCACTCTCTGGTGACATTGGCTGGCCTGTTTCTGTGAATGCTTTTTCCCCAGCTCTTGCTAGTCAACTGATTTGGAGCTCAGAAGGTAACCCTGGAGAGATAGATCCTCTGCTCTCACTGCTGAGCTGAGCCTGGCCTGAGTGACAGCAGGAGGACTGGTTCCTGCTCAGGTGGAAGTGGAAAGTGGGGACCTGCCTGGCAGATGCTCACCTAGAGGGTAAGAGGACACTCAGGATGTTCCTTGCTCATCCACGTGCTCTTGCTACTAGGTACAAGACAGAGCCTTCTCCAGAGAGGAGGGATACATAGCTGCTCTTCAGGAATAACAACAGGAAGGCCAAATAGGTAAGGCAGCCATGGCAGTAGGATGCTCTTTATGCCCTTAGTATGTGCTATGTTGCTAAAGCTGGAACCCTAAATGACGATTCAGCTGCTGCTGCTAGTCAGACACCAGAGGGGCCATTCCTCCAAATGGGCACAACATGGGCTCTTCCCCCAGCCTCTGACAGATCAGTACACAGGGTAGTGTCACCTTGAAACAGTATGTGTAGGCACAAATAACAGACCAGGTTAGCTTGGGTGGCTGAGATCGTTAAACTCTTAAGTATTTATCCTTCCAATGTGTGTTTTACTTTACATTTGTCAGTACTTATCCCCCCTTATGGCTTTCTTCTCTCTTGAATAACTGAAATACTGAACTAGCTGCAAATGCTGATCAACTTTTCCAGGTGGTTTTTAAAAGAAAACACAAACACTCAGGCACCAAATCTTGATACACCAGCTCTTATGTTGTCTAAAATTAGCTGTGCATTCCCAAAGGCTTTTGTCTCTCACCCAATTTCTAACCTGCAGTGATGCTTTTTCTTGGCTTTGCTGGGATACAGCTGCAGACTGGCACTGTTCATACCAAATCCTGGGCCCCCAAATGCTGGGAATTGTAGCAAAACCCACTTGGCTTTAGCTAAGGCACCATGGGTCTGGAAGGGGTGCAATGCATGTTTGTGTTTCATTTCTTTACCCGTTACTAATTTTTTTTTTCCCCTTTTATTTTCCTCGGAGGCTAACGCCCCCGTCGGTCCCGGGCCCGATTTCCCAGCCGTCGTCGTGGAGCGGACGCGGGATTCCCCATTAAATAAAAGGATTTCGTGCGGCAGCACCGCCGGCTCTGTCCTTCCCGGCAGCGCGGGGCGCCGCGGCCCCTTTAAGGCCGGCACGGAGGAGGGTGGCCGTGCCGGGCTGCGCTTGCGCAGGGAGGGGGGCGTCTCCGGAAGCCGGTTCGAGTCCGGGCGGTGCCGGCCTGTTGTGGCGGCCGACGCGTCCCGTAGCCTGGCGATGGAGGCGGCGCCGGAGCAGGGCGTCTGCCTCGCCGGACCGGAGGCCGAGCCGTGCCCGGAGCCGCCCGCGCACCGGCTGAGCGCGGCGGAACTCGACCGCGAGCTGGACTCACGCAGCGAGCTGGTGCGTCGCGAACCTCTGCGCGCCTCCCTGCCCGCCGCCTCCGGAGCTCTCCCTCCCTCCGGCTGAAGCGGCCCAAGGGCGGCGGTGAGGCGGACACGGGCGGGCCGCGGAGCCCCGCGGTGTCTGTGCCGGCCCCCGGCCGGCCGGGCC